GGTGGTACGGGAAACTTGCACATTGTGACTTTTTTTTGGATGCCTGTTTTTACTGAATCTCCATGTGGAGATGGGAAGGCGAACAGAGGCTCAAAACGGCATGTTTCTTGGATTTGGATATTCGCCTTCTAACGGTTTTTCTCTTTTTCTTCCCCTTCTCTTTCAATGTGGAATATGACTATAACGCGGTTGGTGTAAGGGTTACTGGAGTCTGTTTACTTCCAAAGCTACGTTTTCAACGGATTCGGGGCTTGCCATGGACCTATGTCAGAGAAGGAAATGTCCAGTCCTTCCATTCCTATCGATACCTCATTGTTGTCTGGTCCTAAGATGTTGTTGGCAAGTAATATCACGTCCACGGGTACCTTCTACCTTCGGCTTCACAACACGGTCGTCATCTCTTCTATTTTGGGCTTCCGATCTTGCAATCTGATCATCTTACTCAAGTTGAATTCTGATCTCGACTGGCGAGTTTTGCCAAGCTCCGACGTCGATATAAAAGTAACGTTTCCAATTCTTAAGTCCATCCTAGTAGCAAGGATTTCAATTTTGCTTCTGGGGTATGCCGAAGATATACCTACAGATTTGAATACCCAGAACAAGTGATAAGCAAGATATCGATTTAGTCTCGAAGTGAAGATTGATCGTTTAATCCCAACCAGACAGGAGCAGGTATTTTCTGAAAATAATTAAACATTAATTGAAAGCACGCAAACAAACACTTTTCATATCTCCCGGTCCAACAGCGAAGTCACCCACGTACTGCTCAGTCACGGGGTAGCGGTGACACAAATATGACGGTGACACAAAACAAAAATTCAGGAGGTCCTGTTATGTGTGAGGTCACGTCCACAATCCCCCAAAAATTTGTTAGAACAAAGCAAGCAACGAGGAGACTCACCAAGGGGAACAATCAGACAGAGCTGATGTTCGCCGTAGGAGTGTGCTCAGGGATGTGCTCGGCAGTTTGATCATGACATCCCGCAGCAGCAGGGATGGTATGCACGATCTTCCTCTTTGCAGTAAAGAGACCAACAACACCACGTTCCTGATTAGTCCCAAGCCATGGCTTGCGGGCTTCACTCAGGAGCTTCTGGGCAAGGAAGTAGATTAGCTGACCGACAATGATCAAAACAAAGGCGATCGGGTACATCCAGTGGATGTGATAGTGGAAGACCTTGACGCCAATGATCACGCCCCAGAAGTTCATGGTGAGCATAGAGACGTTGAAGAAAGCCGCCGACGAAAGACGGAACAATAGTGGGGCGAGACAGTAGAACAAACTCAGACAAAGTGTGTAACCGGTGAGATACCCGCCGACCTTTCCGTCCCAGTGCGCATTGTGGAAGGAGGTCCGGTCGAAGATACCGGCCTGCGCGCCGTTGATTATCATTCCAAAGAATGACATCTGGCCGAGAACTTCATACACGGGTCGAGTGCTAACGAAGTACTCCTCTCCGGTATTGGTGAGACCATAGAAGGTTGCGCCTAGCAGTGCGAACAGGTCACCCTTCAACTGTCTGCCGTGGGAAATGTCTCCGCCATTCGTGCCGGTGATGTGGTCGGAGCCAATGAGGATTCCCATACCGCCGATGCAGATTAGAATTCCTGCGATTTGGGTGATGTGGTAGCGCACACCCAGGAAAAGGAATGAAAGGACGACAACCACGACGATGGCCCAGAAGTTGATCAGTTGCGCGCTTAGCATGGTTGTGTATTGGTATGCCAGCACAATGAAGTAGTTGCCTTCCACGTCACAGAAAGCAAGGATGATGTCTGCAGCGGTTAGTCGAGGTTACAATTTGAATGTATGGAAAGGGAAACGGGCCCATACACTTCCAGCCATCACGGTATACCAGTCGGAGCCAGCCCTTGAAGCCGTAACGGTACATCGTATAAGGGGTGAAAATGATGTTGAGTAACACATAATTCAGGAAGGTCTGGAACGCAGGGATTGCCCACTGTTCCTGACCGAGTAGTGTTGTGAAGGTACTCGTCGAGGTATTGGCAATAGCGAGAATTTGACTAAGAGAAATTGAGTTAGGGCTTGCGATTTGATCTGTAGTTTATAGAAAGTACAACGTACCCTAGGATAACAGTGATGTAGAATTCTTTAGTCTTGAAATAGCCGAAGGACCCTTTCTTCTGGTCAACCAGGTCCGCGGGTTGCACAGGGTGCTCAGAGGCTTCCGCCTGGGAAGTCTGTGCACCCTGGGCATCTTCTGCCAGTGAATGAGTAGATGTATCATGGTCTATGCCAGTTGCCTGGACGGTGATCTGATCCTTCGACTCAGACATGGTGAACTAATGCAAGTTCAGAAAGCGGGGTAGTATTGGAATTATGCAAGTAGCAAGTTGCAGGTTGAAGCAATCCAGCAATGAAAAGGGAGCTTTATGAATCAGAAACGAGCGCAAAACTCCCCAAGTCGCTCGGGTATCGATATACCGCTTAGCGATGAATCTGGTGATGAAGCAAAAAATCTCACAGTAACCCGAAGACCAAGAGAAATTAACAGGAACTTTTCCTAATTGGGCCATTTTCGATAAGAATCTTTCCCACGTTGTGGTATGCAGCCAATCAACGAGGCGATAGTGGGGGCGGTGAGGGTCTGTGCTGCAGATAGAATTGTCCATCTGGTCCATTATGTCAGCAGCCTGAAGGAGGGAGGCTGGTATTTGGCGGATACTTGACGAGAGAGGCTAGATGACAGTCTGACGGGAAGTACTTTCCGTGTATCCCTCTAGAGGCACGGAGTAATCATGGGGAGATCCGTTGGAGTTGACCTTGCAGAGAATATTTATAGTTTCATAGATTGATAGATGAATCTTAAATTCTATTTCGGGACTGTTGTACGAAGTACAAATTACACCCAGTTGTTAAAAATACCTCATGACCGACGCCGTTCCGAAACCCCTGAGAGAGGACATTTGAATGCATTCCCCAGCTCTGCCAATCACGGAAGAACGCCAGAATGACAAAGAGAAAGTTGTCTAGATTTTAGCACAAGCTTCCTTCTGAGTAAGATAGCCTGTTTCTGCCTCGTGTGCACAATATGCTACACCATGTAGCACTATGTACCTACATGGGTAGTTTTGGGCAACTAAAACTATAGTCGTGAGGTTATTGATGTGTGCCTATCTACATACTTTAGGTCCCTTAGATATGGAATAGATATTGAAAAAAATGAACTAGGAATACTCTGGGAACATAGAGTAGATCTACAGGTTCCCACTTTCTTCTTCATATCTTCTAAAGAAGCTTCTTATTTAACTCCCGAGATCTTTTTAAGGGGAAAAATATCCTAAAAATCCAAGTACCTGCCGAGGCCGTCAGGTGGACCGGGACTGTTCCCGATCGTCATCCCCTCCGCAGACTCTTTCATCATTGGGATCTCCACCTCCATTCCCTCTTTGTGTCCCTTTCAAACAATTTCCAAACGAATCTCGACCCAATCTCCCGATAACCTTCTTTTTAAAGTTCATCTCTTTCCCCCCCCACCACCCTTTGGCTCTCCTCTCGCGCCGGTGCACTTCTATCAGGCCCGGAGTGACGAGACGCCTTTCCCTGTTCCTGCCAGACCATGGCGCTGGAAGTACAACCGCCCGACGGTCGCAAACGTGTGAAGGTTTATGAACTGAAAGATAACGATTGGTTTGACCGAGGAACCGGCTTCTGTACGGGCCAGACCTTAGGAGTGAGTTGTCGCGTGTTGTGCGCGCACTGGGGGTCATGCGACGATGTCTCATCTCGCGCAATCCCAAGCGCATCACCATCATCATCAGTAACTGATAGCTTTGGATTAGGAGGAGCATCGCATTTTTGTCGAATCTGAAGACCTACCCAATCGCGTCCTTCTTGAAACGCGGATTACCAAGGACGATGGCTATCAAAAACAACAGGGTACCTATCCCGTCATTGTCGTCTCATTGCTGCCGAGTGTCCCATTTCTTACTAACCGTCACACGCGACTCAGAGACCTTGATAGTTTGGACGGAGCAGAATGGCACGGATATGGCACTGAGTTTCCAAGAGGCGGAAGGTTGTGCGGCTATTTGGTGAGGAATTAACAAAACTCGTTGCGCGTATAAACTAACTCCATGTAAGGGAATTTGTCAATGCCGTCCAACAACATCTCTTGCGTCTTACTTCAGCTGGTAAGTTCTGTCGCGTGTTTAGAAACTGGCAACTCTAATCAATTTTCAAGATGACGCGCTGTCAGACGACCTTGATAGCTATCAATCCATCGTGTTACCGGCCCCCGAACTCGGCAACCTCCCCGAAATTGAACAGATTGTACGAGCTGCGAGCATGACACAGGGCGGTCGAGATGCGTTATCCAAGTACATCATTCGGGACGAGTACATTGCCAAATTGGTACCGCTAGTGACGATAGCGGAGGATTTAGAGAGTTTGAATGATTTGCATCGTTTATGCAACATCATGAAATCTCTCATTTTGCTCAATGATAACACCATCATCGAAACCGTCGTCGCTGATCATGTCATCCTCGGAGTGGTTGGGGCTCTAGAATGTATGCTCTACCCAGCTTCACCCTGTCTCGAAGGCCAATCTTTTGGATACTGACGAAGACAGACGACCCTGAATTCCCAACACACAAGGCAAACCACCGACAATACCTCGCAGACAAATCGCGATACAAGGAAGTTGTCCCGATCAAGGACCCGCTCATTCGCCGCAAGATTCGGAGTACATGGAGACTGCAATACCTAAAAGATGTGGTTCTAGCTCGGATTCTGGACGACCCAACATTCTCGGTGCTCAATTCTCTCATTTTCTTCAATCAAATGGAGATTGTGAATCATATCCAAGCAAATGGACCCTTTCTCCGAGACCTATTTCACGTTTTCGACCCGAGAAACCCGGACCAGAGACGCAAGGATGACGCTGTGCAGTTTCTTCACCAGTGTGCTGGCATCGCGAAGAACTTGCAGGCACCGTCGCGGGCTCAGTTGTTTGCCAATTTTATCAGCCACGGCTTGTTTGCTGTAATAGCGTTTGCCGTCAAACACTTGAATCCAGCCATGCGCACAACTGGCATTGATATCTTGGTGGCTCTGTTGGATCATGACCCAGTCATGATGCGAGGCTATATGCTCAAGGCTGTCAACGAGAAAAAGATTCCACTCACAGACACTTTGATCGACCTTCTTCATGTGGAGACTGACCTTGGCGTCAAAACCCAAATTGCCGATGCTATCAAGGTTCTCCTTGATCCTCAGATTCCTATGCAGGATCCGCTTGGTCGGGCCGGACCCGATTATTTCAAAGTTCGCACCAACAATCTCCTCTCTGATGCATTTGTCCAGCAACATTTCGATGAGTCCTCAAAACGACTTTTCCAACCGCTTAAACAGCTTGCAAATCGCACAACCCGTAAGTGGTTACATCCTTTGTTTTTTTTGATCAAGATTTTGCTAACTATGAATCTAGTTAATGATTTGACATTCCAAGAGGTCACCCTCTACTCGCATCTTGTTGATATTCTCACCTTCTTCGTCCGCCAGCATCTCTTCCGCACACGTAACTCTATCCAGAGTGAATCTCTCGCACCTCGTGTTGCACAGCTTCTGCGGGTACCCCAGAAACACCTCAAACTCGGTGAGTTTCTAGCTTTGTTTTTGACCTAGAAGCAATAGCTAACACTCACGATAGTCGCCCTCAAATTCTTCCGCACCTTGATCAGCCTCCAAGATACCTTCTACCAAGCTCTCATGACACACAACAACACTTTTGAGTTGATTCTCGACATCGTCTACGAGACAATGCCTCGTGACAACCTGCTCAACTCGGCCTGTCTTGAACTATTCGAGTTTATCAAACGGGAAAACATCAAGCCCTTCATCCTTCATGTGGTTGAAAAATATCGCGAGAAGCTTGAGAAGATCATTTATGTTGATACCTTCCAGAGTCTGATTCTTCGATATGACCAGATGCAGGGATACGGAGCCGAGGCCGACGCGACACTGTTCAGCCAGGACGATAGTAATGCCCCGCGACGAATTCCTCTCAGTGGCCAACGCTGGCAGGGTGCAAGAGAGATGGACCCCGCAGAAGAGGATTATTTCAACACGTCCGACGATGAAGATGAGGTAGGTACCTTTGGATTGCGACTGTTTGAGCCAACGACTGACCAAGTAAGATAAAGTGGACACAAAACCGTCTGGCCACTACGGATGAACCTTCAAGCGGATCCGCTTCCGCGGTCGTCAAACCATTGGTTGACTACCCAGATGACGACGAGGAGGACATCATGGACACCAAACCCGAAGGGGCCGAACAACAGCCGGTGGGCAGGCCAACCGAGACTTCCGCTGAGGTTTCTGCATTATCACCCACCCAGCCCCCCCCCGGAGCGACTCGCGGAGAAACGTCGCCGTGCGGAAGAAGACGATGACGAGCTTAGCAAGCTTACCGCAGGACCCAAACGAAGAAGTTCAACTAGCAGCAATTCTGGCGCTTTTATCATGAATCGGAAAAAGAGCCTGTCTGCCGGCTCACTGGCAGATAAGAATGCCTCACCGGGTGTATTGAACAGGGTCATCAGCGCCGCGCCCAAGAGAATCGCCATCAACATTGGATCAACAGCCAAACCTTCCACTTCAGAAACTGACATGATTCGCGCGGAGGCGACGAGCGGGAGTTACGAGAAGGAAAATCGCGACGACAGTCAAGGTAACGAGGGTGGATGATTATGCCTCATAAGTCAGGCGTTTTTTTCGTGAACCTAGTTTTTTTTTCCGTGACCTAGATGCCAGACTCGGTTGCGGGATTTCCCATCTTTCATCTATAGCTTCTTTTTGGGCGATGCCCTTTCTTCTTGTTCCCTTCTTTTTTTCAAGGGTCTTCCTCCCCTGTTTACATCCTGGTTTTATGAGGTTTTGTGTTCTCTGGCCTGAACTAGCGTCTAGTTGAATGTTGATGTACATGGCATGGCGTCTGGGCAATGCATTGGATCTAGCCTTGTGGTGTCTATTTCTTTTTTTTTTTCCTGGTCGGGCTTAGATGCTGGCCATTCGAAGAGCCCTGCATCTGCGGATGGAGTCGTTGCAATATATCCTGCCACCTTCATGGTGTTGTTTACCTGTTGGAATTATCTGTAGTGCCGTAGGTTCGGCCTGCACAACATCCGCCCTGCCACCTATCAAAATACCTACATAGCCCAGGATAATCTCTTTGATGGTCTTCTTTTTCCTTTTCCTTTTTCCTTTTTCTGGCTTTCTGTCTAAACTTCTCGGATACTTTTAGGTGGCCAAGGGACTAGCCTATGTAGCTCGAGGTGTAACGAGGGCTTGGATCCACCAGCCGAACCCGACTTCCCCTATCAATCCCAGGTTCATACAACCACCTCGGAGTAATCATACACGCGAAAAATACGTAACAAAAGATTACAACTCGTGTAATTATGTCCCTTCAATTTATCTCCTCTCCACCTGAACTACCACTAACCAAGCCCAGACCACCTAAGCCCGTAGCCATCTATACCCTGGATGGAAATCTACATGAAACAGCCCTACAGCAGATCCAATGACAAAAGCCTAACAGAAAATGACATCCGAAATTACCCCAAACACTTTCCTCACTACCACAGGTTCTCCATCAGACCAAAAGACAACAATCTTCTTCATCTCCGGCAACCCAGGCCTGATTGGCTACTATCACCCATTCCTCTCTCTACTCTCAAAGTACCTAGATGAGGCAAGAGAGGGACACTCAAAATGCCTACCACCAAGTAAAATCTACGGCTGTTCTCTCGGCGGCTTTGAAATCGACGAACAGCGACTCTCAACGTCACCGGACACTTCCATTGTCCTCGACCTGGAAGATCAGATCCGCTTTGTTCAGGGAAAGCTCGCTGCCCTAATGGGAGACGAAGGCAATGGTAATGGCAAAGATACCGTGGATGCCGAAACTAGACAAAAGGTTATCCTAATCGGACACTCCGTTGGCGCATACATCGCCATGGAAATCCTGAGACGACACCGCGAAGCGAACCCCAAAAGCGCCTTCGATATCGTCGGCGGGGCGATGCTCTTCCCGACTGTCAAGGATATTGCAGCGTCACCTTCAGGACAGAAACTGACGGTACACACCACACACCTCTTGCCAGATGCTATTTTTTTCGTTGGTTCTATGCTGATTTTGACTCGGTTGTAGACTCTACTTTCGATGATTCCCCGTCTTGCTGTGGTTGTTAGTTTCTTCGCGAGAATACTTACATTCCTGCTCCCGGAATCCCTTCTTCGATCTGTGGTCCGGCTGGTCATGGATGATCCCCCCGTTCATGCTTTGGATGCTACGTGTGCTTTTTTGAAGAGTCGGGGTGGGGTACGGCAAGCTTTGTATGTGTGACATTTCTTTTTGGCTGTGGTTTGGACTTATCTAAGTACTTTTTTTCTTCGCCTGGCGACTAGACATATGGCTGCCGATGAAATGCGGACTATCACTTCAGACAAATGGAGTGATGATGTCTGGGGTGCTGCGTCGGCGCGTGAGCCTATCGCCAAGCTGTTTTTCTACTTTGGTCGTAATGATCATTGGGTGGCTGATCAGACAAGGGATGATATCGTCGAGGTGCGCGGACGAAAGGGAGGGCAGGCTGGGCCAAGTATGGTTGTTTGTGAAGAGGGCTTGCCGCATGCGTTTTGTTTGAGTAAGTGACTTTTGATTGACTTTGAATACAATGGCCTCGCTGACATTTTGTAGAACACAGTGATGTGATGGCACAAAAAGTTGCGGGGATGATCGGGCAGATTGTGGCCTGAGGAAGAGGCTATGGAATTAAAAATGGAAATGGAAATAGACAAGAACTACATAAATACAATGAATTTCGCCATTGGCGCAGATTGTAACGGGTATCTAAAAGAGACGCTACGCCACGCCCGTTCCCATTCCCATTCCCATCCGAATGACAAAGAGCCCAAAGCCATTCAAATATGCAGAAAGAAATCATAAAGCTAGACGCCATGTACAAATGATTGAGGGGCCCGAAGGAACCATTCAGCACTCACCCTAGTGCCTCTGCCCATTGCCCCGTTGAGCTAGTCCCGCCCTCCGGAATAGATCTCCTAGCACATCGGACTGCGGCTGCGGCGGGGGAGTAGGAGACGACATCTGATGAGGCACCATGTGTTGAGAATTAGGCTGCTGTGGGTATGGTTGAGGTTGCTGCTCGGGGCCCAAATGGTGTGCGTGCACACTCCAAGCGTCGTCCTGAGCGCGCTGCTGACCAAACAGATCCTTCAGAGAAATCTGACGTCCCATTGGCACGCCAGCCTGTATTTCCTCCAACGGGGCAGCCTGCGTGGAAGCCGCCACTGCCGCAACGTGCAAGCTGGTCTGGCGCATAGCCTCGAGGCGCTCGCGAGCTAGCTTCGAGCTCTCCCCGGCGTGGGTGGCGCACTCGAGAATCATCTGGGCGTTAATGGTGCGACTCTCCGCGGTGGAGTTTGGCGGCGGCTCTGAGTAGATCCAGAGACCGTAGATGCGCACGTTGTTCGTGCCGGTCTGATTGTTTGGCACATTTTGCGGGTGCAAGGGGTCGGCGATGCCATTCTGTCCGGCTTCACCTTTGGCGCTTTCTTCGGCTTTGAGAATCACATACTCCTCTGTGATTTCGACATTCTCGCCGTCGGTGAGGGGGAGATCGAAGTTATTCAACCCGCGGCGGTTAAGCACGAAGGCAGTGTAGCGCTCTTCGCCTAGGTCACCCTGTGTTTCCTGGCACACAAATAGGGTTCCTTCAACTCCATTCTTTTCCCATTGTTTTGTGGTGGGGCTGAAAAGGTAGACCACTGCGTAGGGGGCGAGTGAGAGAATGGAGGTCACTGAGGGCTTGTGACGGCGGATAACGGAGAGGTTGAGCTCCTCGTTCGACCGGAGCGGGGGTGCAGGTTGTTGCATGTCGGAATAGTATGGAGCGTCAGATTCATAATCGGTGAGGTTGACAGAATTGTGATTGTTGTGTCTCCGAGATTTACGTGAAGTCATTTTTTCTGTGGGAGCCCTTGGAAAGTGTGAAAGCTGGGAAGGAGCTGAGCCAGCCATATCGTCATTGTACTTGCGGCTCCGCCTTCGCGCTTATCCGGCTTCTCTCACACTTACTACTCTCTGCTCTCGAACATCCCTTTTTGAACCTCAGGTAGGACAGTTGGATGGTGCCATCTATTTGACTCCTTTCCAATTGGTCTCAAAAGCATTTTCCTTGTTCCCTATATTCTACGTGATGACGATACGACCTTTCGCGACCTTGATGGGATGAACCTCTGTGACGAAGTGACCGAGCCACTGTCGCATTACACGACTGATTCTCTCAATTCATTCTCTTTATCCTATGGTAATTATTGTAACCTCATTCTTTAGCTGCGACATCCCTCGCAGACTGTTTTCCCTTGCCGGGATTGAGAACCGCGCAAACGCACACACTCATACATACACCACGCTACATACTGCTACCCTACCGAATCTCGAACCAAAACCAAGCAGCGCGAGGAAGCTTTCTTATCCGCTGATTCCATTACATACTACACCATGAGCACTAAAGCTCAAGCGCCATCCGGGTCAGAGCACACGGGTCAGTCGGAAAACACGGGACCGATTAAGAACCCGGGATTTGACGTTTTGTCGCTTTCGCGTGCGGTCAGAGCAAGAAAAGCCGAGTACACAGGCCGGCGAACTATCCGAGTCAAGGTCGGCACGTGGAATGTAGCCGGCATCTCCGGCACCGAGAAAGACGTTGGAAAGTGGTTTGTTCAAGGAGACGGGGTGTGCCCGAAGTTCTCCGGGACAAACTATGCACGGGAGCCAGAGTTCCAATCATCCACCAAGGATGACCAGCAGAGATCAGACGGCAATGAAAAAGGAACCTTTCACTACAGTCCCGAAGAGATCGACCTGTACGTCTTGGGCTTGCAAGAAGTAGTCGACATCTCTTCCCCAACGGAAGCACTACGGCCATATGTCGACTTGGCACCGTCCAAGCGGTGGAAGGAAGCAGTTGGGAGCGCGCTACCTGAAGGATATCAGCTAGTCTCCGAGGTCCAGCTGGTCGGCTTGTTGCTTCTGATATATGCGTCGCCCGCCATTGGAGACAGTATTTCTTCTGTCAGTAGTACCTATGTTGGTACGGGGCTGATGGGATACATGGGAAACAAGGGCGCAGTGACAACGCGCCTTGTCTTGGGCGAAACGACTCGTGTAGTGTTTGTCAACTGTCATCTCGCGGCAGGGTCCGATAAAAGCAGCTTAGACCGACGCAACTGGGACTCTTCTCAGATTGTCCAGCGTGCTAGATTTGACGCGGTTTGGTCCGAGGGTGAATCAACTAGTGATTCGGGTGAAGCAATTGGAGATGAAGATTTTACTTTCTGGTTTGGTGACCTCAACTATCGCCTCGACGATATCCCTGGCGATGATGTGCGCCTAGTCCTCGCTCGTCATACTGACAATGAGTACGACAAAAAGCGCCAAGCAAAGCAGTCGTCAAGCCGTTCTTTGAACACCAAATCTGATTCTGATGATGAGCCGTCTTCTTCTTCCCCCCCCGAAGAAGAAGAGGAGACGGAACCAGTCACCGACCCTGTCACCGACGATGAGATTGATCCCCATAATGACCCTACTTCTCTTCAAACGACCATCTCCTCACTTCTCCCACATGATCAACTCAGAATTCAGCAGAGAAAAGGAGCAGCTTTCCACAAGGGTTGGCGGGAAGGTCATATCACTTTCTTGCCTACGTACAAATACGATGTTGGGAGTGTGGCTGTGTTTGATTCGAGCGAAAAGCAGCGGGCTCCTAGCTGGTGTGATCGGATTCTGTTTCGCAGTCACCGGGATAAGCTAAGACATGAGAAGCTCGACCAGGAAGCGGAGGAGGCCCGAAAGAGGGACGAGGAGATGAAGGCAAGCGGGCTGGACAAGGCTGTTGCCGATGATTACGTCTTGTTTGAATATGATCCTGATGCAGACGGTGTGAACAGCGAGGAGAACAGATCAGACGATGATCAAGCCGCTGGTGATGATGACGATGCAATCACAGTTGCATCGATCGACTCTTCCCACGATTCAATCTGCTTGGACCATTATGTGTCACACCAAGGCATTCTTTCATCGGACCATAAGCCTCTGGATGCTGTCTTTGCCTTGAGCTTTGATGCAGTCAATCGCGAACTCAAATTAAAGGTTCATCAAGAAGTGGCCCGTGAATTGGACAAGGCCGAGAACGAAGCTCGGCCGGACCTTACTGTTGTAGTAGATAAACATGGTGACCAAAAGCGCTTAGATAAAGACCCTGATACTGTCGATTTCGGTGATATTGCCTTTGATGTGCCAGCTCATCGGTCCTTAACCATTGCCAACACCAGCGGCACCGCAGCCACTTTTTCATTCTCGGGACGGCATGATGCTGACGACAAGACCATTGCACAACCACCCTCATGGCTCGTTATCCACGTCTGCAAGTCTGCAGACATCGCCCATGAAACTGGTCAAGCGATGACCACTTCGTCTGAGAGCCACACTCTGCTGCCTGGAGAAGTAGCAAATGTTGATATCACAGCTTACGTTCGCAGCATCGAACACGTCCGGTTGCTTAATATTGGAAAGGTCAAACTAGAAGACATAATAGTCCTTCACGTCGACGGCGGTCGCGACCACTTTATCTCTGTTCACGGCCATTGGCTACCCACCTGCTTCGGTTGCAGTGTAGACGAGTTGACTCGCATGCCAGAAGCGGGTGCTCGAAGTTTGGCCAAATCCAACACCCCTCATCCATCCAGCACAGCTGGATCCAAGGAAATCCGCTTGTCGGCACCTCGCGAACTTTTCCGTTTGACCGAGGCGATCTCCGAGCTGACAGAACGTGCTGTCGCAGAGTGGAGCATGACAAATGGTGAATCCGAGGAGCATAGAGCCCCATGGGCAACGGACCTCTCCGGGGGAGCATGGCCTTTCCAGCCTGATACTTGGACTCTAAAGGACCCACAGGAGCGTGCCGCGCTGCAAACTACCGTGCGTGAAGCCCTCGACACCAGCAAGTCCCTTACCTCGATATTTGCTCCTGAGTTATCCTCTCTCCATCGGTTGGAGGTCCTATCGGAAACCCTTCTCACATTCCTCAACGCGCTCCAAGATGGCATTGTCACCGCCAAAGTATGGCAAGATATGGAGCAGCAAATAATCGCGCGCGAGAAAAGCAAATCCCCTCCTCGGAACTGGGAAGAAACCCAGGCATGGGTGCTTGAGCATCTGGCCTACTCGCCAGCACACAGCGTATCATTCACGTTTGTCACTTTCATGCTCGCCCACATCGCCAATGAAGTGGCTCCAATATCGTCCGGTACACCATTGCTCCCATTGTCCAAGGAAGGAAAGCACATTGTCCCCACAGAACCGGCAGACAAGCAGTCTGGAACAGCAGACCAGGATCAAGCTCAATCTCCTACTCCTACTTCCGCAACTGCCTTAGTAACCAGCGGCAGTTTCCACCGCAGGAACCGTTCCACGAGCACATCTGCTGGCACCAGCCCTGACTCCACTGGTCAGAACCCTTCCATAGCACGCCGACAAGCAGTCGAGACTGCTTTAGCATCCATCTTTTCACTCGTACTTATTTCTGTCTCTGCTCCACTGTCACCTAAAGAGAAAGAGCGCCGTATCTCTGAAGAGCGGAGGCGATCAATCATTGAACCATTCTTAAAGATGGTTACGGTGGATGACCGAGGTCCATCTGGGGGTCGGTCTTGATATCTTCTGATGCAGTCGAGAGGTTTGTGGGGGCTGGCCCCCTTGTCTTGCGGTCCATCTCTCATCAGAAACCCGGCCATTTATTGATTCTTATAGCCCGACTTTTGAAGTTGTTTGCTTGCATCAAGTTGTCTTGATGTGTGTAATGCTGTACAAATGCCATATCTTCACGTTTCCCTCACCTATATAAGATTGATGATATAGTTTGAGCAACCTCGTGTTTGAACTGAAGTCGATACAAATCCTCATCTTACAGTGACACCTATGATAAATCACCAAGCCCAAATGTAAACCCCTAAATGCCCGTGAACTGATCCTTCAACCATGCCCAATGCCTATTTTACCAAAGGCTCACAGCCCACTAAGGATCTTCAGTTAACAAAAAAAACCAAAAAAAACGTCCATGCACATCCATATCACGCCTCATTCCCATTCCTCACCCCAGACCGCCGCTGCGGCCCCAGCGCACCACCCTCCCAATACACATTCGACGATCCGGCCCCCTCAGCTCGACCCCCAGCCCGAGCTACAACCTTCCCCTTCAACCCAGATCTAGACTTCGATCTCTGCTGCGGCACAACCTTCCGCCCGGGAAGCATGCGCTTCGCAGCATCCCAACACCCTGCGACCGCACGCCCAGGCAAGCTACCAACCAACAGCGCACTCCGAGCAGGAACAATGACACACGCGCAAGCCCAGTCCAGCAGGACAAGCGCATAGTTCGGACGCTGGGACTCCGTCGACCGCTTCGCAGCAGCAGCCAGTGCAATCGCGTCGCTAGCCTGAGTCTCGAGCCGTGCGAAACGCTGATCCGTCTGCAGAGTGAATAGGGCGAATTGTTTCTCGTAGCGCCTGACGGCGCGATTAAGGGCTTCGATCTCGGGCTGGATAGCTTTTCGAGTTTCGAAGGCTGCGCTGGCGACGAGGGATAGGGATGTCTCGGGTTGGTTCTGTCCTTGTTCTTTTGGGGAGAGGCGATGGGGACCTTTATCTATTGAGTTGGCTGCAAGACGGGCAGTTGCTGTCTCTGCGACGTGGGCTTCGAGTTCTTCGAGGCGCTTTGATAGGTCTTGCAGAGTTGTTGGGCTGATGATAGGGTCTGTTGAGGATGATACGATGCGTTGGAGGTGTAGTGTTCGTTTTTGGATTAGTCTTAGGAGGTGGGAGACTGGGCGGACTTCTGAGGCTAGGAGGAAGATTGTTAGGTTGTAGTTTGACACTAGGCCCTCGGAGGGTCGGGAGAGACTGGAGCGGATGGCGTGCAGGAGACAGGTGCCAACTATGGGAAATATAAAGCAGGCGGCTAAAGCGGCGAGTTCGTGGATTTGGAGCTCAGAGGTGGCTGTTGCTATTTCTTTCTGTTGGGGTTCGTGGTCGTCGTCGAGCTCGAACTGTGAATCGTCGCACGCTGGCAATCCGCTTTCTTCTCCTCGAATGGCCTGGGCTGAGCGGTACCAGTCCCTGTTATGAAGTTAGTATGAACCGGTTTTTTTTGGTTTTTTTTCTTCTTCTTTGGATTATTAGGGGGAATCGCGTAGGGACATATACCAAGGTAACCGGACAGACCAGTTGAGAAATATAGCGGCCAGGACTAGTAATGTGACATCGGTAACGAAGGAACTACCTTCATGGAAGAAAACACCCGCAATTGCAGGCAGCAGGGCCAATCCGAGCGGTGCTGAATGCCAATGCGATTCTTCAGCTGAAATTTCATCATGGTATTTTGCCACACGAGGTAGAAACAAGTCGTCGGTCGATGAGCGGATGGAGTTGCGGGCCTCTGAGAGTGAGTCCGAGAGAGTGGAGTTCCGTCGTTGACTCTCCTCAAAGGTAGAGGCGCGACGTGTGTTCAACTGGCGCTGAATGGGCGAATCAGCCATGTTGAATTCTGAATGTTAAAAAAAAATGAATGTGTCTACGGAGTATGGGGTAAATTGCCAAGATGATGCAATGGGACCAAACCAGATCGCAGATCCTAAACTGGTAGTTGTGGGTATACTCCGTACTTTGTACAAAGTTGTGACCCTTTACCATAATCCAACCCTTTTCTACCAGTTGAGAGTTATGTCATTTCTACCCACATCAATAGATACTTGAACAGACCTAACTCATTAACTATTCGACGAAAGCCAGGTACACTTAACTATAGTTACCCCAAACCGGTGTTTATATAAGCGAAGACTAGGCCCGGGGGCCTGGGTACAGCCCTAAGCATTGACCACCCGAGTGTGGGGATGGTGGCCTGAGGCTAACAGGTCCCATCGTTCTCTACTGTGGGTTCTTCTATCATAACCTTCCGTCGGTTAGTTGTATTATTCTCGTCAACAAGTACATTTCCATGTCCAGACTCCATGTATACAATCTATACTTCTTGTGGAGGCGGTCAATCAATCAAAAAGCCAAGAAATAACCAGAAAAAAAAGGTGATTGGAGAGGAGAGAATAAGAGGTATAAACTAGATGTTGATACCTGAGGCACAAGCCACACTTCCTACCCAGGTTAGTGTAGGGCACGTTATATCAATATTCTGGAGATAGATATGGATTATGATATAATGTCAAAGAGAGAGAGAGAGAGAGAGAGAGAGAGAAAGAGTGATATGTTAAAGGATAGTTTTACAGGATCGTCCATTTTTTTGTTTACGTCGAGGGTCATCTTCCCTAGATCAACTCCCTCTCTTCTCTCGAATCTGGTCAATCTTGTTGATCTGGTTAAGCTGAATAAGATTTGACAGTCTAGATCAATAAGCCATGAATCATCAACCTCGCAGATCGATAAAAATACCAGGCGGATCAAAATGAATAAAGTCCCCACCTCGGGTCTATTGACACCCAAATCCGGACTTGGTTTGCCTCGCGCTATTCGCTCAACCAGGACACCTCGGTCTATGCGTCTCGTGTTTCTTTATTCGACATCTTTCATTTTCTTTATTCTCCTTATTGCAAGCTGTCTAGTTCAGTTCAATGCTAATCCAATGGATAGGTTTCTCTGCCTGTCGTAAAACATGTCAAGGCCTGGTACCCGCGGCCGCGGATTTTGTCTCTGCAGCTCATACCTTCTACGTGAATAGTACACAATCTTGCTCAAGGCAAGATGTCTTGAGCTTTGAATCAACCTCCTGATTCTCACTATTCGGATCTCAATAAGACATCGTCGCTCAATTGCCTCCCTCCTGGGTGTACAACCTTCATCGAGTGAGGATGGTTCTGTCCCATTCTTCTTTCTTTCATCCAATATCTTCGTTTTCTTGATCAATTTGCAGAAGAAGAAGAGGCTCGGGTTATCGAAGTTACCTTTTTTTAATCTCTGTTTGAGATCCACTGCCGTCATGGATATTCACCAAAGACACCCACAGGCCGTGGTTTTGCCAATTCTGTCCTCTGTCTCCATTGCTCTGGCTATTCCGCCGCTAATTCTGCATGGAAAGAATCGAAACTTCCCTGCTAGCAGTTTGATATGTTGGTCAATCCTCCTCAACTTGTTCAACATCATCAATTCTCTCATATGGCCCACGGACGACGTGGCGTCGTGGTGGGATGGGGCTGGTCTCTGCGATATCGAGGTCAAATTCATGGCTGCCGGATACCTGGGCGTTCCAGGAAGCCTGGCATGCATCTTTCGAAGTCTTGCAATTGTACTAGACACAGATCGGGCTACATTAGTCCCGAGCAAGGGTCAACGCTGGCGCAATCGGTTCATGGAGATTCTGTTCTGCATCGCTGTTCCAGTCATCGCAATGATCACACAAATCATCTGGCAGAAGAGTCGATACTTTTTATTCTCCATCTCGGGATGTGTGAACAACTTCGACGAGAGCTGGGTCAGTCTCGTCTTTGCATGGATCTGGCCGCCGATAATCTGCCTCATTGCAGCATACTACTGCTGTAGGTATACTCCCAGCTACCTTTCATTCAAAAGCAACCCCATTAACTGAACATCACAGGCCTGGTGCTCATGCGCGTACACAAGTACCGAAGCGACTTTGCAAACATCATCCACGCCTCCAGCAGCAATCTCAGCAAAAATCGCTTCCTCCGCCTCTTCTTTCTGGCCCTGTCAATGCTCGTCTGCATCCTCCCACTACAAGGCTACGTCGTCTATAACGACATAGCCCTCTCTCTCCCCTGGCATAGTTACTCCTGGAGCAGAATCCACAACGGGAAATGGAATACCATCGAAAAGATCCCTATCAACGGCACCGTCTTTTTCGACCGCTGGACCCCCGTCGCATCAGGCTTCATGATCTTTATCTTCTTCGGCTTCGGCCGCGACGCAACCCGCATGTACCGCACAGTCTTCTGGTATCTCGGACTGGGTTACTGCTTCCCGAGCATACAGCCCCCAACAGATACATACCGCACCGCACCTTCCCCCGCACAAGCCTCAACAGCAACCACCCTCGTCGGCAGCATCGGCTCCCGCGCCAAATCGCTGTTCTCGAGCCAAAAGAAATCAATCGCCACTTTCGTCTCGACGCATGGCATATACAACGATCTTGAGAAAGGTACCTCGTTGCATCTGTCCCGTCATAGCGACGGAAGGCTGACCAAGAAGTCGCGATGGAGTCGCTTGCCCTGGTCACTCTTTGACAGACGTCAGACTCATCAGTGCACCGATGGGACTCTGCTGGATAATCTCCCAGGCGGTGCCTTGCAGACTATCTCCACTAGTGCTTGGGCTAGTCACCGCGATAGTCGGGACTTGTCTACTGGGTCTACTTCGCCGGAGCTGAATAAGGATATCATTCATGTGCGGCAGGTTATTAGCCAGCAAAGTGAGGTTAGGGTTCAGGTTTAGTGGGCTTGTGCTTTCTTCTGGGGGAATGTATCTGGGATTGCATTGGCTTCCAGTATTGCCTTCGACTTGGTTTGGGGCCATGGGATTCTGCTGCACATCGAGTTAGGACTACCTGAGGGTGATGATACATAATTTACGGTCTACGGTTATTCTCGTACAAAATGAAAAACGAGAAGAAAAATGTATTTGCTTGGGCTTGTTTACGCGTAGATGTTTGCTAATTATACATGTGCAGTACTATCAAAGAAGCTTCCATTTATGTACTTTTCGATTAATTCTATAAGAAACATAGAGGACCATGACTAGTGACCGGTATATCTCAACGGAGCCATCTTCTCCACCAATTTTGACATACAGGAAGGTAGAAGAGTTGCTAAAGGTGTACTAGTCCACAGGTTGGTGGTAGGCCGGCAGTAGACCCTGTAAGCTGTCTGAAAGCGTAGCTTTCGCTTGTAATAACAAGTCATGGACTGAACACAAAAAATTCAATGTCGTGGACCTCAAAATCGAGTTGGCCAACTTAGGTATACTGTACACTACACGCTATCAATATTGATTTATCCACCACAAAACGAAGTGTATTTAGGGTATAATCGTACAATATAATCACACCACAAAAGGGGAGTCACTCAACCCAATCAGCTCCAATATGAAACCAGCAACAAATCAAGATTAACACAGAGCCCCGATCAAGGCATTTAGTTAGACTCGTCAGAGTGGCCGTTGTCAGGTCGCCTGAGGACCTCGAGAGAGCCTAGACAAGTGTTAGATTGAACGTGAACATTTGTCTTGTTCCCGTAGAGTAGAGTAGAAGTAATCCTCGAAAACGTACGCTGCACAATGTTCAGAGAGGACCGGGGCTGGCCCTCGGCATCTTCCCAGGTGGCCATCTTGGCATCACCTTCGACATACAGTAAGGTTCTGCCGGGACGAGATTAGCTCATCTACATCACACTAAAGCTTAAGTTGCTACATTGGTGCAAATGGATAGGGCCAATTGAGCAGGGCAATCGCATAAAACAACCCATACTGCTTAATCACGAATGTGACATAAAGGAGTGACGTCTCATCCGAAGGCGCGTCGCTTTACCGCCAAGTCCACATGCTATATGTTTGAACAGGTCTGCACAGTCCCCATGCGGCTTTCAAGTGCGAGCTCAAGCTCTCGCTCTCGATCCGCATAGACCGCGCGCAGACCTGCCAGACCCAAACGGCACATAGCAACAACACGCCTCACAGACAAGATGCAATCCAAGCACAAATTATTGGGTCCTGCACGAGCCAGCAAATTATCAAGAGCAGTCACTTACCCCTTCTGCAAGCCAAGGATGTAATCGCGCTGGGAGCCTTCGGGGACGAAGTTGGTGATGCGCCACCAGCTAGTCTGGCGGTTATCGCGGGGGCCGTGGGAGGTAGCGATATTGTACTTGACAATCTCCTGGCCAGAGGAGGTAGCATGGAGCTCAGGCTCTGCGCCGAGGCGGCCGGTGAGGGTCAGGCGGGCGACGGAGTGGGCGGGCGAGGAGCTGAAGGCGCGGGCAGCCTGGGGGGCGTTGGCCATACGCAGAGCTGGACGCACAGAGGAGAGGAATGCCGACATGTTTGGAGGGAGGATGAGTGAGTTGTGGATTACAAAGTCAAGAAGGATGGATCCCAAGGTTAGTTGGGATTTGCTTTGGTGTGTTGATGTTATAACGACACGTGATCTGGGTCCGCTACCGCTTTCGGATGTGACTTGAAACAGGTGCTGGTTGCTGGTAAACATTGTGATCATGTTCTTCATCCCTCAGTTGAGTCAGGGATTCTGGTTGCAATCGCGATCTCATTCAAAAAAATGAAATTGGATCCTCCGTGGTCCATTTGGCGAAACTCATACTGTTATGCTGGAGAGCTAAAGCTCTACCCCAGAATGCCCTTTTGTGCAGGGTTCTATCTACGGGTGCAGACAGCTGTGAGCTCCAGAATTATAAATCCAACGTCTCATGTCCCGAGTCAAAAGGAAAAAGCAAGGACAAAAAATGCAAAGAGATGCAAATCGAGCGACTTTTCCTTACTCTATTACTTTGAAATGCTTCATACTGTGAACACTGACGCGGACACGCCAACCCGAACACGCTAGGGTATCAATGTTTTAGCGTGATCACGTCACATCACATCCGAGTCTCCCGCGAAGACTGTGCAATTACTCTGTACGGAGTACACCGCACACCAAACTGGAAATGGCAGCCGATAGGCAGATCAGCCAGGGGGGCAGATCTTAGCGGAGATTCTGCAATATCGCTGATTGATTGAACCGGACCGAGAATAAATTAAGATGGCTGTTGTCTCAGATGCACTCCTTACCTTGTCAATTAGCGGCCCAACCACGTCGTTGCAGGATGGGTGTTGGGTGCTTGCGAGTCGACGATGGCTAACATGGCTGGCTGGCCTGGAGCTGCAGACGTCTGCAGGACAATGGTGAGATTGGTACTCCGTACAAAGGTCAGAGTTCAAAGATGAAACTCAAAGGTCAAATTGGTCAAATGTTCGCTAAATTCGCTAAATTGGTAGAATCGATAGATCGGCTGCGATAGCCAAGGCGCGGCGCCACCCGTGGGAACTGAGAGTCTTTGCTCTTTTTTTTTCCATCGCGAACTGTGGACTTGAACATCAAATTATACACCATGATTTAAAAGCGAGGGATGACCTGACAGCTCGCATTGGATCTGCAAGTGCTGTTTAACGGGGCACAGTTTATGGAGTGAAGAAACCCCCCAAAAAGATACAAATTTTTTTTTTTTAAAAAAAAAGCACCAGTCCCCTCAAGCCCGCAAAAAAACCAGGTTTCATGGTTGAATGGGAATATTCGCCGATAGACAAAAGACAATTAAGCCACAAGATGGAGACATGAGGATCTCTTCTCTCTCTCTTTGGTCTGTGCCGGTGGTGCTAGTCCCAGTTGATACAAGTTTCATCACTAAATCACCAATTTCCTCGATCAGTGGGGCCAAAAAGTAGATAGCTCAGGTACCATCGCGTGGCTAAATGCTATTGTCCTCTTACAATTCTCCCAGGATCCATGTTGACTCCTGCAAGTCAAACTCAAATAGGAAATGGGCGCACTTATTGCCTGTTTTCGTTTAGATGTACGGAGCAGGGAGGCTTAGGGCTGTTCATCTCTTTTTTTTTTTACTCAATATATCCCTAACGCCACATATATCGATTCCTTTTTTTTGGTTAATTATTTATATTCCTGTCCGGTGTTCCCCGAGAACTAGATTGATTTCGCGAACTGTGTGACTAATATCGTGGGATATGTGAAAGGCGTGGTCTTACAATAACCGAAGACGTCTCTTTGAGGATCAATTGCAAGTCACACTAGAGATCAAGTCAAGATGCGGTGGTCTTTGCTACTTGCCTTAATAGTGTCCCTGTTTCTACTGGGGACATTGGCAGCACCGGCTTCGGGCCCAGGACGATGCGATGTTGAAATCCTCGAGGCTAGACAGGAAAAAGAAACAGACCCTACAATGACAGAGAATACGAATACTGCCAGCCAAGCTACAACGGCAACTCAGACAAATACATCAAAACCAGTAATCGATGCGTCAACAGTGACTGAAGCCACAACGACAGGCGGTACTGCTTCGACCACAGCGTCGACCACTATTACAACGCATGTCACAGCCAATGTCACGAAAACTACCTCTGCCGCTTCCGCCACATCGACTGTACCCTCACTCGATGGAGCAACTGCATCTTCTCAGCAACAAGCGGCAGACTCCAATAGACCAACCTACTCCGGTGGTCTGCCCATCAAACCGACAATCACGCCGGCATGGGGCGTTGGAGGATTTATACTAATAGCTCTCGGAGCCGTCCTGACTTTTATTGGGGTCCGCCAACAATGGTATTCAACTTTCGAGTGTTTGACGATAACATTTTGCTAACAAAGAAAAGGGTCCAAATCCTACTCTCAACCGGATTCCTTAGCTCATTGGGAGTTACCGTATGTTCTATGCTTGAAAAATGCAGTAAAGAACAAAACTAACCAATCTCTATACAGGTTCTCATTATTTATGTAATGAGCCCGCCAGTAAGCAACGCCGTGCAGGGTGGCTATCTTGTCGCCGTCTTCTTCACTGGCGCTGTCTTCGGTGGTCTATCGCTCGTCTTTAGAGAGATCTGTGAGGGACTGGGCTGTCTTCTGGGCGGTTTCTGTCTGAGCATGTGGTTCCTTGCCTTGAAATCTGGCGGTCTCCTCACTGAAAGTGGCTCTAAGGCCGGTATGATTATTGCGTTTGCTGTGGGATTCTATTCCCTGTCATTCAGCCACTACACGCGGTCATACGGGCTGATCGGATGCACGTCATTCGCTGGCGCAACCGCCTTGGTCCTTGGAATTGATTGCTACAGCAGAGCTGGACTGAAAGAGTTTTGGTTGTATATCTGGGGTAAGCCTTCAAATTGTGTGTTTGCTTTCAAATTGTTCATAGTTACTGACGGATCCAGGATTGAACCAAAACGTCTTCCCTCTTCGAACCGACACCTACCCCGTGACGCGTGGTATTCGTGTTGAGCTCGCCGCAACCATCATTGTTGCTGTTCTGGGAGTGATCTCCCAGATTAAGCTTTGGAATCTCATCAAGGAGCGCAGAGCCAAGGAAGAAGCTTCCCGTCGAGAACACACCCGAAAGATCGAAGAAGAAGACGCCGCAGTTGGTCGCCGCCTCGAGGAAAAGAATAACCAAGAGCGCGCTGAATGGGAACTAATTTACGGAAATGGAAAGACTGCGGATAGCAAAGCCATTTCGGTTTCGGAAACAGCTGTTGGCGACTCGCGACAGGGCTCGGATGAGTTCGAATCTCCTGACAACGACAGGGAAGGTGAGATTGAACTCAATGAAATGCCGAGCCCGGATGCTTCTGGTAGTGGCTCTGACGGCGAGAAGACCCATCAGGGTGGAAATCATAGTCGTGAACTTGAGGCGGTGCCCGAGGAGGATTCATCCCAGCAGGGTCGGTCGGCAGACCAGGACAAGGATGCCGAGAAGGAGGCTCAATCTGATGCAAAGAAGCCGAGACCGACTACACCTGTTATCACCCATGTTCTTGGCGAGGGCAATGATGACGCCTCTGAGAACGGTGCTGACATCGGCTCGGAGGTTGGTACGCCGCGCTCGAAACGGTTCTCTGGCAGAGAAATGTTAAACCGGCTCTCTTGGCGAAACAGCAATGGTGTGAGGGCTGCTTCACAGTCTCAGGAGAATCTAGTGGCTCACGATGATGCCAGTTCCTCTGTTCTGGGAACTGTGGATGATCTCCATGAAATGAGCGTCAGCTGCCCGAGCATAATCTCGGATGCGGATGTTCACGATCGCGTTGAGACGGCGCCGCGCGAAATAAAAGCTGAGCTAGCCCCAGAGAAGGACTCGCCAGACGTGGAGATCAAGTCAAATGCCAGTTCACAAGCTATCCGAGATACTGAACTCCGTGAAGATACAACCACGGCCCAACAAGACGCTGAAAAAGTCGTCGCCGAAGAAACCACTGCAAGCCAGACTGTTCAGCAGGTGTCATCTGTCGAGGGCACTGTTATTGCCGTCAATCCTGTAGATGAGTCTGGCATATCTGAAGTGTCAGAGAAGCCCCAATCGCCCGAAACTCCGGCAATAGATGCTGAAGCAGGTATTCCCGATATTCCAGGGACGACCAAGGAAGTCCGGCCTCAAGCTACATTGGAACCATCGCCTCTGAAAGAGAAAGAAGGGGGAAATAAGGAGGAGACTGACGAAAATCGGCCTTCTACTGCTAAAATTATCAAAACAGAGTCCATTTCTGAGCCGAAGGTTGTGTCTTTTCCCGAGCCCGAGGTTGAGCCAAAGATCAAAGTGATCAAGAAACTGGATGCATCAAACGTCAAGTGTATCCCCGAGCAAACATCACGAGTGATCCATTCGTACCGCACGAATGAATGGGCAAAGCACCTCGCAGATGCCGACACTCCCGAGATGGAGCCAATTGAGTTCGGACCCGAACCCGAGGAAGATGCCTTGGAGGAAGTTCATGAGACTGCAGCATTTGTTGATGTAGGCGGTCTTCTCCAGACACCTCTTACTGCGCAACCGCCACCAATTGTGAACAGACCTGAATTGAATGATATCGACAATCAACAAGCTGCCTACGTCTCATCAACACCCGCACCAGAACTTCCCCGATCCAAGACACGGACAGGCGCGCAGGGTCTCATCAAAGTGAATCCAATTTTAACCCGGAACGACTCGACGGCTTCAGTCGACATGCTCCGATCAGCTTCTGGTCCTTTTCCAATTCAGGAAGCAGGATTGACTTCGATGCGCAGCACATCGACTCCACTGCTGACGGTCACTACTGTCACCGAGTCCAAAGAAGCAGAGCCATCAGCACGCTGGAAAGGACCACCTCCTCTCCTCGCAGTCCGCGAGAACATGGTCCGAAATCGGATGTCCTCAACATCCAATCGCTTCGATCCCTGGGCCGCTCGCAACCTATCCCGCCAGTCTCTACCTGAAATGGCGCCCCTCGCCTCGCCAATATCCCCACCACTCTCCATCCCAGAAGAAAGGGACGTAGAACAGGAGCAAGCCCAACCCAGCGAGGACGACATTCCACTTTCCAAGCGGCGCGCCCTGCTACAACGCCAGACAGTGCAGTCTCCATCTCCAGTAAGCCCTGACAGCCTCGAGGCTACGCATTTCCCTCCATATACTCCAGCTCCCGCCGGCGAGCCGAACCGATCTGCCTCAAGAATGGCAGCGTGGCGACAATCGGTCCGCGAGGAAATCACCACAAAGCAAGGTCCTTTGGCCCTGCAGTCTCAGCCCCTCAGCCCAACTAGCCCTGTTGACCGGCGCACCAGATGGAACTCTGTGTATCAGATGCGTGAGGCTTCGTCTGCTCAGCTGGGCGATGCTATCGCAGATGGCATGCAGCGTGGCAACATGACGGATCTACACCGTCAGGCAATGCGTCGTATGCAGGCCTCGGCAAATCGAAAGCTGTAGTGTCCAGTCATGGTTCATTCATTTTACTCGATACCCTAAGATCTTTGATTCTTTTTTTTTTTTTTGATATACTAGGTGTTGTTATTACACGCCGCGGCAACTGTGTCTTTCACACGACTCTATGAAATATCTATTGCACCCATGTCTATAATCTTTTATTTGTAAATTTTTTGCCTCAATCTGTGTCTATCCAAGACGGCCTTGCCGAACACGGCCGAGACGTGGCCCGAAATGCATTTTGACAATTATGCGATAGTCCCTCAGATAACGTTTGCTAGAGTGTGCATACTATGCCCAATAAAGGCCGGGATGAAACAAGGGATGAATCACAGTGAAACCGGGACTAACGACTCAAATTTGATCAAGGTGCATCCCTTTCGTCTGATATAGGATGTAGAGTACGGAGTTCTTTTTTCACCTCTGATTCTTCCTGTCAAAGAGCCAACTTAATATACACCAAGCAAATTCTGTACGGATTTATAAGAATTTTGCCTTTCAAATTCAATCATTTAATATCTCTTTTATCGTTCTCTTCTTTTATTGAATTCTCTTACGCTCATTTGTTGTATGTCCACATAGGGCACTTTTTTCTGGCCCGGTCTCCATCTCCACTCCAATCCCTCCACCTCTCCTTTCTCCGCTCAAAACGGCGTTCTTCAATGCCAGACCTCTATCGAGGGAGGAAAAAGCACATCATAATCCAAGCGGCCAAGAATTCCTAACCCGGCTTCCAGCCAATTGCGCCCCCGTGGAGTCAACTCCGACATTCGTTCGCGCCCAGCGGCGACAGTGCGTTCCGATCTCAGGCTCGCCGTCGCTCCTCCGCCCACCAGCAGTCCGACTCGCAAACCCAGTCAACCACGTCCCACGAATAACCCCAGTAATCGTCCGCCCCTACCAATCAGACGAGAGTCTCTCCCTCAGCCTTGGCCACTCACGCGACGCCCACCCCCTCCTCAGCATCCCAGAGCGGCGCCGCAGCCGACTAACCCCGTCCCCGAGCAGCTTGGTCGTCGAGCGCAGCCAGGGGGAAACGGAAAGTGGCCGCACTAGCATTGCCCTGCCCAGACGACACCGCCGCAGCGAAGAATACATAGATATGGCTGCCGCGTTTGCGGGCAGTGCAGCGCGCGAAACTGAAAACCTGCGTCCTCCCGAAGCTGTTCATCTCACCCAGAACGGATCTCGTCAAAGTGACCGCCCCCGCCACACTCAGTCACAAGGTTCCCTCCGCTCCCAGTCCCAGATCGCTTCCGTCCCTTCGCATACAGGTCATCCGCAACCTGATGTCGCCGAGGAGCTTGCTTGGGGTCCGGCTCATCCTTGTTTCCCGCATATAAATCCCCATGTGCCCTTCGGCTCGAGGGAGCACATGACAACGCGTGTGATTCGGATCCGGCGCGATTGGATGATTAAGGGGGATTTGGCGCCGACGTTTTCGAATCTGTATCCTGAAATCCTTGATCCATTGTTGTCGGAGCAGGAGTTTCGCAGGGTGATTTCGACTGTCAATGATGGGATCATCAAGGCGTTTGATCCTTTCAGTTTTCGGAATTTGTTGGACAGTGCGATTGGTTTATTGACTGGCTGGGCATGGGACGATCTCAATGCCTCCGCGGCGAAAAGTCAGCTGCAGCATGTCGAGGCTTGGCTGGAGAGTTGGAACCGTGAGGTCGGCGCCAAGGATGGCGTTCACATCTGGAGCTTGAGGCGGACGGCGTATATGTCACTTGATATTCAGATTCCCGATCCCAAGGTTGGAATTGTACTCAGTGAGGCACCTTCGGCTCCTAATACCAGGCCAAGTACTGGTATTGGGGCTGGGTCTTGATGGGCCATTGCCGGGCTAAAGTGCGCCATTTTTCCCTTTGCTTTCTGATTGTACATCTTTGTGATTTGTGCCCTTCCTGGGACCTCTGCATGATATCCATCCCGCGGCCGTTTTTTCTTCGACACCGGATCTTTCCTTATCCTTATATACCTTCGTCTTTTGTGTCTGAGGGGGAATTTTTTTTTTAATCTTGTGATTTGATGCCTTTCTTCCATATTTCCTTTGTGAGCTTCGTCTACATATCCCTGTTGATTCCCCAAGAAGCTACTTTACCCTGATTTCTTCTTGTCATCTTGACCATGCCTCTTTGTTCATATCTCGCTGTCATACTGTATCTTCACCTTTAGACTAGCATTCCCCAAAAAAGAATCACACCGCGGATTTGCTTTCTTTCCGCTTTAATGCTCAACCGACGTTGAAATTTTTTTTTAAAATAGAAGTTGGACAGTTCAGGGTGAGTATGATACCTGTACATTGAGCGTTCATGCTAATCAGTGTTTACCCATGCTTGCAAGACAAGCCTTCGCAGTTTGGGCTAATTTCCATTCCAACAGCCCATACGCTACAACATAGGCGAGAACATCAACACCATCAGCAATGCTTCGTTTTCCCAAGCTCCGGTCTGTTGGCTGTACCATGTCTCCATGAATCTACAGATCCTGGATTTTCTTTCCTGCGGAGAAGACATTTTCCACCCGAGTGCCTTTGGCGTTAACTCGGGTAGCATTGATGAGCCAGGTGCTACGTTGAATATAGTAGCCTGCTTCGGTGTGGCGTCCTAATTTAATACCATAGGCTCCATCTCTGCTTCCCCATTATGTTGGACTTTCTACTTAGCGTTTGAAGCATTTGATTTTAAGATAGTCCCATCAAGACCTCCTAATCTTTCTCATGGGGTAGATGGTGAAGGTTAAGTCTGAGGGCATCACATAGTTCGTTGGAGTAAACCGGCCCCCGGGGTTCCAGGTTGAAAGACAGTAAACCTGGATGGCATGGAATATAATCGATTCTTTCGATAGAAGCCATGTAGAACCGGAATTGTGGATATCGACAAAGGACACCAGGTGGTTTAGCGTGTTGACTTCAACCCTCGCCCGGGCGATCTTTCAGAGTCGATGGATCAGATCCCTCGTTTGGAATGCATTGTAGAAAGATTTGAGGTGACTAGACCAATGGCACTGTGTGTGTTTATCGATCCAGCCACATGCGATACCACCCTCTAATAGTTCATCCATTGCAGTTGGGAAGTAGTTCAAGACCTCCTTTTATACCTCAGGCGGTGTCGATCCAACCCCACCCCTGTTTCCGCAGCTCTCCAACTCCCATCTCCAGGAGCAACTCGACTTTACCACAACAATATGCTCTCGGGGGTTCTCATATTTAATCAGAAGGGCGAAAACCTCATTTTTCGCGCCTTCCGCAACGATTGTCGTCCGAGACTAGCCGACATCTTCCGCATTCAAGTCATCTCCAATCCCCAGGTGCGCTCGCCGATCCTGACCTTGGGCTCGACGACCTTTAGCCATGTCAAGCACGAAAACATCTATTTGGTAGCTGTCACCAAGAGCAATGCCAATGCCGCATTGGTTTTTGAGTTCCTGTACCGGCTGGTCATGCTGGGCAAGAGCTATTTTGGGAAGTTAGACGAGGAAGCCGTGAAGAACAACTTCGTCCTGATTTACGAACTGCTTGATGGTAAGACATGGAAAAGGCCCAATAGCCTAAAATTAGACCTTAACAGCCGGTGAACCAGAAATTCTCGACTTCGGATACCCCCAGAACACCGATCCAGATACCCTGAAAATGTACATCACAACGGAAGGCGTCAAATCCGCCATCGCCAATTCCTCAACAGACTCCTCCCGAATCACCCAACAAGCGACAGGCGCTCTTTCCTGGCGCCGTTCCGACATAAAATACCGCAAAAACGAAGCCTTCGTCGACGTAATCGAAGACGTGAACCTCCTGATGTCCGCAACAGGCACCGTCCTCCGCGCCGATGTCAACGGCCAGATTGTCATGCGCGCCTACCTAAGCGGCACGCCCGAATGCAAATTTGGCCTGAACGACCGACTCCTCCTAGACACCGGCGAGACCTCCAGCAACACGAACAACCCGGGCGAGGGTAACGGACTCAGCACATCCAGGGCCACGCGCGCTGCGGCAGGCTCCGTCACGCTGGAAGACTGCCAGTTCCACCAGTGTGTGAAACTGGGTCGGTTCGACGCAGACCGCATCATCTCCTTCGTGCCGCCGGACGGCGAGTTCGAGCTGATGCGCTACCGCGCAACCGAGAACGTCAACTTGCCTTTCAAGGTGCATCCGATTGTGCGCGAGATCGGTACCACAAAGGTTGAATATAGCGTTGCCATCAAGGCGAATTACAGCTCCAAGCTTTTCGCTACCAATGTTGTTATTCGTATCCCCACGCCGCTTAATACTGCCAAGACGACGGAGCGCACCAGCCAGGGCCGCGCCAAGTATGAGCCCGAGCAGAACAATATCGTTTGGAAGATTGCGCGTTTCTCTGGACAGTCGGAGTATGTGCTTAATGCTGAGGCAACGCTTACGACCATGACGCATCAGAAAGCTTGGAGTCGTCCGCCGTTAAGTATTTCGTTTAGTTTGCTTATGTTTACCTCTTCGGGTTTGCTGGTACGCTATCTGAAGGTCTTTGAGAAGAGTAACTACAGCTCTGTCAAGTGGGTGCGCTATATGACTCGCGCCGGCAGCTATGAGATTCGGTATGTGTTTTGATTTTCCGCTGGTAATGACTTTTGTCGCTGACTGGATGGCTTCGTTTTAGATTCTGATCATTCTCAAATTTTCGAGGTGATCTTGGTTCGTGTGGGAGAGTCGTGTTATTTTTAACTTTGCGCAGCACAACTGGTGTCTGGCGTTGGATGGAGCCATATACATACTGGATTAATTTTTTTCTTCTTAAGTATCCAGGTCTTCATTTCCCGTACCTGGAATGAATGCTTGTGGGTTTGTTTGAGGTTTCAGTACCATGGTGAAGGTATGAAGTTGCATGCTTTCACACGGCTCTCAGTATGTCAATCCCAGGCCCGGTGGTTTCCATAGGGCCAGAGAAATGCCTGGCTCTCCCAACTGAGCCAAGAGAGCTGGATAGCCCAAAACAAGATAGATACGATGAGACGATTGTAACACTAGCATGTATTGAGCAATTGTCAAAATTTAGATTGACTATATGTCTTCCAGTTTTTAGAGCAAGAGAACGAAAATAGATGGTTGTAGATAGTAGTACAATTCCCAAACGACAGTCGATATGGAAGAGTAAGTCACAAAAAGAACGGTACAAGAGTAAGAAAAGAAGCAGAAACGTATTCACATAGCCCGAGTAGAACGGAACTCACAACACCGGACAAAGCAAACGAAACAAGCAATTTGTGCTAGTCATAGACAACGAACAGAAAAGAGGATGAACATGTCTCACAAGTACAAGAAGGTAAGATAATACAGGGGTGTTTTTGACATAGAAACTCACGCCAAGGCCAACGGGAACAAGGTCAGCCACAGGGTGGCACAGAGATCATCATATAATACATTAATAAAAGCCGGTGATGGTTGCAATGAGCAGTCATCACTGCCGACGCGGACGCAGGCCGACACGACCCTCACCAACGAGAGTCTGCCACCGGGGCCCAACGTGGCTGCGACCCATTTGGCGCGCGCACTCATCCCATTCCTGTTGGGAGAGACGAAATTTCTCAAGGACCAGCTCGAGAAGGTGTTGGTCTCCTTCGGCGGTCCATTCTTGTGGAACCGAAGAAGGGGCATGCTCTTCTGTCACCTCGATGGAGGGCAGAGGCGCGTCTGGATCGACGCATGGGCCAGCTGGAATACCATAGTCCATCTGGCGACGAGGAGGAGAAGGAGGAGATTGGGTGACAGGAGGAGAGTGTAGGGAATAATAGGCTGTAGAAGAAAGGCCGAAAGGCAAATCAAAAGGAACGTGCCGGCGGCGTTTGGGAGTCGCGAAGCGGTTGCGCGGGCGACTCATCTCCGCGTCGCTGTCCTCGTCATCGAAGGTGTCACGGCGGCGCTTATTTGCGCCGCGAGCAAGTGCAGATGGAGGAGGAGGGGGGGTGAGAGCAGCGGTTCTGGGGGGTGGTGTTTGTCTGGGAGAGACAGGTCGAACGACCTTGTGCGATCGTGGCGAGCTACGGACCGTGTTAAGGGGGAGGGGGCTCTGGAGGCGGTGGGCTTTCACTGATCGCGACGAAGGTGTGGGCGATCTGTTGAGTAGAGATTGTAGTGCGCGGCAAGTCCCGAGGAGACCGTTTCCGGATGGGACTCCTGTGTCGGATGGGGGAGGAGTTGAGAAGAGCCGACTGGGAGTGAAGCGAGACGACCGGCGCACTTCGCATGGGAGGGCGGAGGGGAGCAGCATGATTGTCGGTATATAGATTGAGTGCACGATTCGAGAGATTTCAAGTTGATTTGAAGATGAATGATATCAAGGAGAGAGAGGAGACAGAGTCAGCGTTGTTGCGCGGTCGCGAGATTTGTGTATAGGCTGCGATTGCGCCGGAGATAGTTGCGATACGTGACGAAGGAGTTGGGGATATAGAGATCAATGGATGATATAGTTGTTGAAATGCGCTTCGATTTTCACGTTTTCCGGGGGGATGCGACGGCGAGTTGGTATGAATGTTTAGGCAGCGAGTGTGTAGGGAGAAGTTAGAGGGGAAAGGCGGCGATCAAAAGAAAATTGGGGCCGCAAACGGTCAAGCGAATGAGCTCTCGGTGCAACGTCAGGGTACTCAGGTTTATTTTCGGTCACAAAGAATGTGTTTGATCTTAAAAGAACTATGAAACTGTTGAAATAATTTGCAAAGGGAATGTGAAGGAGATTCTCAGAGTCAACGAAAGTGATGGATGGTCGGAATGCTACCAAGAAGACCTTTCTACCTTTCTATTATACTTGTAGTTAATTGATGAAGGCCATGGAATAGACCAGTGAAACAGTATACTAAGGAGGTCTAGGACAAGAGGGATTGCATGCAAGGCGCATACACAGTGAAGGCACGAGGCACCCCTGAGACACATTTTCCACTTACATTTCCTATTTGGGCAACAGATCGACCCCATGCGACCTTTGAGTTCTGCATCAGTTTTGATCGTACGGAGTCTTGGTGTATTGCAATTGGAACTAGAGCTCATACCGCCAATGAGGTGCACTGGTCTGCATCCCAGTCTCCAAGATTAACCCTAGAGGTTAGGCATGCGAGGTCATACCATTTCTTTGGTCTCCTGATCTCCATCTTTGCCACTGGGGGAAGTCGTGTTTTTAATAGTGATCTGAAAGAGGGTGAGATTCCCTTTCGCCTGTTCTCCTGCCAAAGGCTTCTACCCTTCACCAGCCCAGGAGACTGATTCCCTGCCATACCTGCCCTCTAGTAATCTAGGATTTCAGGACTCTAGGGCCTTTGAACATTGCCAATTGTATGATGCTACTCTTAGGAGACCCTGTAAACTGCTCAATGCTTCTCCGTGCTCCGTAGAATGGTGGCATTCATCATCTTCAGCGCGTCGACGCGTCTCGCGTTTCGCGTTTCGTGTTACGCGACGCGCGCCAAGAATTTTTGTATTGGGGTATACTGTACTCCGTACCTGTGGCGGACAAGATACAGTGTGTCCAGTGTGTATGGAGCATTAATTACTCGTGGGTCAATGCTCAAATTGCCCATGTGTCCTGTAGGATCAACGGTCATCCCACTCGGGGGATTTTCTATACTGTACTGTAAGAAACTCTAACTGCCCTTACTTCTCCTTACAGAGGGTGTTTAGGCCAGCTCGTGTAAAGATACAGCTTGCATTATCTTGCCGAGCTCTGCATCTACCACGGTGTGGGGTGCAGACTGGCTGCACTCTGCGAGCGGACTACTACAGATCTACAACCCACGAACTCGTTGCCACACTTGTTACTCATTACGGCATGTAAATAAAGTGGTAAAAGAATCTTCATTCGCGCCAATCGGAAAGGAGTGTCTGCACCTTGAACCCCAGCTTAGCTAGAAGGGCTGACAGCGCCACTAGACCTATAACTGTTCAAAGGGACCTACTCTTGCCTCCAAGACCGAGTGGAGAGCCTTCGATGTGCTCCGTGGCCACTCTCCATTCCAAGACCCGTGCTCCCAGCCACTGGTCAAAATCCAATCTCATGCAAGGGGTAGCCCGAGGATAGATCTATGCTCACTGAGAGTCCTAGGCTCACACATGGTTGGGCTTCAGGAAGTCAAGGCTGCCAAATAGTCTATAGTACAAGAAACCAAGAAACCAAGAAACCAACGCTGAAATTCAGAGGGGCGAAAGTTTAAGATTTCCAAGGTTTTCCTCTCTTATCCATGGATGTTATCTAAGCTTCTGCGTGATCCTGTGGCGTTCATGCAAAACATAAGCCCCTTCCCACGGGCCCTCATGTGGATCATCTCCACATTCCTTTTAGTCTGCAAGCCCTGATGTGGCTGGCATTGTACTTACCCCTCTAGGTCCCGCCTTGGGGCTCAGGGAGCAAGATACCAAGGTTTCACAGGTTCACCTTTACAGAGTCACCTCAGACATTACTCAAATTGGCAGTTCTCTTGCCCCATCACTCTCTCCTTGTCTTTCTTTTTGGGCCAAAAGAAAGTAAAATCTAGTTGGCGATCACCCCTCTTGGCTCCCGGACTTGTATACTATTGTTCTATTTTTTTTCGATTTAATCTTCTTTTTCTGGGGGGGGGGGGGGTTGAGGATACCAGTACTCCGTACAGCTGACAGGAAGCTCTGATTGTTTGGATTAAGGAGCTGTGTTCTATTGTCTCAGCTCAGATAGTTGCCAGAACCCTTCTAAAGGAGGGTCTCTAGAATTAGACTTAATGTGCCATACGTTTTCTAGCAGTTCAATGGCTATCAAGAAAAGCCTGGTTCACTATACTCGAGGTACACCACTCATCTTGAAAACCGACACCATCTACTCCGAGTCATGTGCATAGCAATCAATCTGCCCGTCGCTCAACCACCCATACCATATGCTTAGGCTCGCTACCGATCAGCACTTCCTATCTCTGTATCGAGTTCCCCGTCCCCCTCCCACCCTCCCTCTTCTTTACCCCCCTGCCCTAAACTCATGGTCACCCGACAATGGCCCGCACTCTTCGCGGTAACTACAACTTCTAACCCTGACCGAGACACAGGGATAAGAATAAAGAGACACCCAAGGAAAAATGGGTTATAATGCACCCTGGCCTCACAGTGCCTAACGAACAGTTCAAGCTCTCCTCTCCTGTCCACATCCGTGCGGTCCCAGTGAAAGCTATGTTTGCCTTTCCTTGCCCCCTCCTGCCCCTCTGTGGGTCTTGGGGTATATGCCCGAAGGATCAAGAACTATTGCCTGTGTAACTTGCTTCCCAGGGGTAGTTATTGAGGGAGGATAGAGCAATTTGTTCGCTTTGCCGAAGGTTGCCCCAATCATGCTGGTGTTGTTAGCTCTCGGTCCTTCAATGCCGTTCATGCTTGCTTCAAAGTAGAGAACTTCCACGCTCGTTGCCAGGAATGCCGGCGGTCACTACAACACGATGTTCGCTATTTACAGTGCAGCGAGTAACCGATGGGCGAGGAAGAGAAAGACATGCTAGAGACAAAAAAAAGATTTTCTTCACCCCGTGGCCAACCAAGTACCAACATCTAATTAAGAATGGGATTTCTCATGGCGATAGTCACGCCGCCAAAACCCTCATTGGCCTTGCATTCTTTTGAAGCGCTCCTCCGCAGCCCTCGCTCTGCGCTCTCTTTCCAATCGCATCCTCATCTCAGGTGTCATGCCTCTAGTCTCCTCATCTCTCCTTTCGGCTGCAGGCTTCTCAATAGCGCCCACGGTACGACTACCAGATTTAGTCGTTCGTGATTTCGCTGCCTTCTCAATCTCTTCGCGTTTTAGGCGATCCAAGCTAGCCTTGCGCCGGTTGGATTCCTCCTCCTCGGCAGCTTTGCGTTCTTTCTCAGCTCGGCGCTCGGCGTCGGCTTTGGAGACGGCTGATGGAACCTTGGCTGCTTCCCAGTCCCATTTTGACTCGCCGAGATCATGGCGGGCAATGCGGAAGGCGTCGCGCGTGGCTCGATCACCGGTGAGTTCAAATGGAGTTCTGCCTTCGTTGTTGACGACCGTTGGATCCGACTCGGCTTTTGTAAGGAGGGCCGTGACTACGGCCGATGCATCGAGGTTTGCGGCAAGATGGAGGGGCGTGGGGCAGCGGAAATTTTGTGGCGAGTCGGCAGGCGTAAAGGTGAAAGAACGAGGTATGGAGTTGTTTGAGATATAGGACATAAGGGCGGGAACCTTTGAGCGACGAATAAGCGCCTGTAGTTGGGATGTGTGTAGCAAGGCAGCTTCCTCTTCTTTTGAAAGTTTCAGCTTCGGCGGCTGCGGTTTTTGGACAGGCGGAGATGATCTGGACTCTTCCTCTCGTCGCTTGGCTTCAGCCGCAGCCAGTGCGGCTTCGTCCACCTCGCTGACCTTCAATCGGGTCAATTCCTTAAAGGACCGCATGAGCTCCCCTTGAGTCGCACGGCGGGTATTGAAGGGGAAACCTCGTATACGGGGGTCGTTCTGCCTGAGGACCTGCCCGTCGTATTGGCCGAAAAGAGTCTTTCGATTTGTCTTTCCCGTAGCTCGGACGAACAACAGCTCTGCTATGTCAATCATGTCCCGCCAGTCCGACAACACCTCTCGGATATCCTTCTCAAGTGCAGCCTCGTTGTACCGGCGCAGACTTGAACCTGCTGAATGGGCAGCACCGCGCGACGCATCACTTGCGGATTGCGAGCCACCCTGTTTTCGCCGCGTGGTGTATCGGTGGAATGTTTTGTGCGCAATGACTCGAGCCTGTCTGTCTTCCACTCCTCCTTGCTTTCGGTGTATCTCCGGTGCTAGCGAAACCAACATAGCCGCGAAGTGACCACCGCCGATCATACACATGAAGATGTGCGGGCCAGAAGTAACAGGTTCGGGCACATTACTTGCCTTGTTGGTGCGTGCTTTGATTGGCGCAAGCTGCTTTCGTCGCAGAGTGTCAACCAAATGGGCTGGCTCGTCCTGCTCGACATTTGAGAAAATGGCCCGGTAGATGCCTAGGGACTTGTTTGACGGCAACCCCGAGCTAGACAGCCAAAATAATGGGTGTTTCGGAGTGATCGGTGTTTCGGTCATTTCTGGATCCTCATTCGGGTGGGAAAGCTTGGCCTGCTTTTTCAGCAGGGCGGACAGTGTTGTACCCGCAGCCCCCTCTGCATCCTCCTCCTCTGTCTCCGAGGACTCAGAGCCAGATATAGACTCATCTAGCTCTCCAATTGCCTTCGCAAATTCGATTTCCTCCAGGGGCGCGTTTCCTCGCAGTTGGGCTTTGATGTTATACCGGTGATGGTCCGAGCGGACATGGCTGCGTTGTTCCTGTACACTGTTGTAAGAGACCCTGCAGAGGGAGCATAGGGTTGAGGTTGCGATCGCGGAGTCCTGCGCTGCTAGTTCGAGATCTATCGGAGAGGGTTCAGGTTCTTGTTCGGCGACAGCTTGGCTTGTGGTCTTGACCGTTAGGCTTGCAAGAAGTTCTGGCGGCAGATCGTACACTGGAAATATCAGCGGAATGGATCAACGACGATATGGGGCTTCGTAGGCATACCATAGAGAGGCCTTTTCAAGAGCTCCTCCATTTGAGTCGTGTCGACCATGATGGGCTGGGCGAAGAATATGCACTGAGATCGTGGTGCCCCTCCAATGACGATGATAATTGAGTTCTTACCGCCTAAGAGCGATGCAGGCACTATGTGGACTCTACGCGCTTCGCCGTCGCTTTATGTCAGGATGCTGAGTCTGAAATGACTTTGAGTCATATTGTGAAACTTTGCTCAGCCTCATTTGAGACCTCGAGAACGTTCCTTTTCTATGAGCGATTCTAGGCTTGTGGGCTGTGCTCAGAAATGTCAATGGGTCGGCGTCCCGATAAGGAAATTTAATCCATAGGCCACTTTTTCCAGTGCCATCGGCATTTTGTTTGATAAATTCGTAGAGCATCCTTCATAGCGATAACTACTTTCACTAGCCCCTATCAATCTACGTTGTGTAGGTGATTTGTTCTGTTTGGTACCTGTTTTGTCACGTGATACAAGAGCGGGATGTGATGCCGCTAAGCCCGATTTATATATTTTATGCATAGTGACGTAGTCATCTTTCGCTTGCCGAAACCTTCTCATTTATCTCGACACGTCGACTATATAACAAGATCTTAAGATTCTAAAGGCTTCGACGGCTTCAATTGTGGCAACAAGAGACAAACATGGCAGAATATTCAAGTGGGCACGAAAGCATAGAGAATTCCAAATGATGGCCATGAACCAAACCAATCTTCTCTTTGAGCAGCCACTCGATATCTGTTATGTGAGTATCTAGCTGATCAATGAGATAGGAACCTAGCCTTGTTTTGTCGACATCTGCTACTGCCGTCTCTTCTTTTAAGAAGGCGATGATGTTGATAACGGAAAGATTACGGTCAGGTGAGTATCCTGACCGGTTTTTGCGTTCTTCATGTTTGACTTGAAGAAAATCACTGGATTGAACATTTAAAATCGAAGAGCATTATACATCATGGGCAAAGAATGATCGTTATAGACATGGGTGAAGACTTTCAACTAAATCCGAGATCATATCATTTACATTGCATGGATTCTTATGCATGATGTTTACCTCGTATGTAATTTAATGATCTACCAATATTGCATCCGACTTTCAATGTGGCCTTATAACAGTGGACAGTCTGGATCAATATTAGAAATCTATCGAGAAAGTCTCTTCCATTTGAATGTTAGGGCTGAGGATGAAAGATACGAAGTCTTGGGGGTAGTCTAAAACGGAGACCTTGAGATGCCTGGTGGAATGCGAATCAAAATCGGGGAGTTGACGAAATCATAATCTGGGCACTGAAAAACCATGGAAAATTTCAACAATAGGAGTAACTCGTAAATGAGCTGGCGTTACCAAGCCTCAGTACCCAATATCTCGTCAGGAAGTGCCATCGGAGCTGTAATCTGAGGAAGCCAGAAGTCTTGGTAAGTGATCAACTTACTCTCTACCCACAGATTCCAGCGACCAATCTGCAATCCTGCAGATTTCGAGTCGTAGGGTGTAGTGAGCCATTTGTAATAAGGATCAATCTCGAAAATAGCTCTTCCTGCAATGCCTGGTTCCTGATTCGATGCCTGCTGACTCGTACGTGTGTAGCCCAGGATGATGCCTTTTCCACCAGAACCGGGAACAATGTTGGCTATTTTTTGCGCGAGCTCTTGGGCACGCATTTGATATCTGAGCATGGTGAAAATTCCAAAGTTACGTCGATCCCAATCTGTAGTGAATGGAGTTAAAACGAAGACTTTGGGTGCGTAGATGGCATTCAAGACACCGGGACTCTGGTCAGTCCCAATCAGACTAGCTACACTTTTTGCAAAAATGGTTCCATCTCGGAGGGAGTTGAATGCAGTAATCGTGAAGAAGTTGTCGTCAGTTGGATTGAATGCTTGGTCAACGAACACGGGGCTCTCCCAGATGTGTGAGATGTACACACCCTTTTCAGATGCAATGATCACTGCCGTGCATCCGTAAATGCCTTTGACCCCTACAGCTGAGTGACCAAATGATGGATAGTCAAACCATTGTGCTGACACTTGTCCAAGTTGGTCAATCCAAGTTGGCGCTAAGCTCTTGACGTAGCTGCCGCACGGAAGAGAAGCGTCCTGGGAATCACATGTAATCAACGAACTGATCATCATTCTCTCATCTTTAATACTTAGAGGACTTGCCTCGGAGACAGGCTGTGTTGGACTTGCGACTCCATTATTTGTAGCAATCCGACAACTTTCAGACGGCAGAATGGGGGTAATGTCCGTTGAGATCAAGGCACAATTCTCGTTCGTAGCCACCACTGCGATGCTGGCACCGCTCAAAGGGACTTCTCCCATTGAGCTTAACCGTTTACGGGTATCCGAAGGATATAGTATTTGAGCATCACTTGTTGAGGTGAAGCTGAAACCTGCGGTTGCTGGCCCAATGACGAAGTCTCCAATAGTAGAAGCAGTACTTGAAGGTGAGCAGGTTGTTGTGAAAATAGTGAAATTTTCAGTTATGAGATTCTCCAGGGTGTCACTAATGGCTTTACCATCATTTGTATGGATGTTGTCTGAAACGAGCTCCGACCTCCCGTCGAGACAAGACCATGTGGCTGTGATGTCTCCAACAGATCCCATTAAGCCTCTCGTTTTATTTGCATTACATTCCAAGCACAACGAAGGATAAACAAGACCAGATGGGAGATCTGCAATCTCACACTAAGTACCCCCTGACTAGATCAAGTGTTAACAATCTGAGTGATTTGGAGACTGCAGTGTCAGATTATACAACAGACACATTCGATGCTGCTTCAGGACTTGAGAAGTTGATTATAAACCTGTAGAATCTCTTGGGAAAGAGTATGGGATCTTGTAAGAATAGGTGCTGTCAGAGGTTTACTAGACTTGGTGATCAAAGAGGAGACCCGTGTTTCTCAACCGCCGTAACGGCGGCTAGCATTCATCAAATGTGACAATATGGTAATGCTAAGATATCGAAACACGTGGACTTGCTACCAAAGCTAGGTAGCAGTGGTTTTTTCGAAGAAGCAACGTTGTTGCTCTTGCTATTTAAACCAATGCAAACTTTGCACCCGGTTGATTTGGTTCTGATAGAAGAAGCGTCGGTAGAGAACTTTGTGGGGGTGAAGGAAAAGATGTGATCCCAGTGACTCCAAATTTCCAAGAGATGATTATATGATGGAGATTAACCTATCACGTTGAAAGAGTTGTATGCAGAGTTGCTGCTGGAGACAATGACAGCAGAACTTGTTTGCTTGGACTTAGGGACAATCGGATTGTGAGCATTGTAATTAATACGACTTCCTCTTATTGAAAGATGGATAGAGGCTTCGCTTTGGCTTATAGACAGTTCCGGGTTCTTATGAGAAAGAGTATGCTAGTAGAGTAAGGAAGTCAGGGTTTCTACTTACAGCCCTGTCTATCTACTAATTCTTTGGTCCTACGTATAAGCTCGAATAGCACCTAGTTATATTCACGGCTAACAACAGATTCTGTTTTGTTAGGTCAATTGAAATAGATCAACAACTCAAGTGAGCGCTCACTTGAACAAAATAATTACATGAGATAAAAAGAAGTATCATTCTATCTTGCGGACTTCCTCAACGACTTTCAACACTCTAAGTTGTCGCCCTTTTCATTTTCATTTGATCAATGAAATCCCAACGACCAAAAAGGATACAAATCCTTCAGACTGAAAAATCGTCAACGAATCGGTGCGTGGATCCTCAAAGCGCGTACAATTCCAGGATGTTGACTTTCCTCTTAAATCACATCGATTGGTCGGGACACATTCGAAACCAACTATTTTACTATCTATCACATGACTAGCATTACAAGGCCCATGCGTCGCTTTGGAGAACCACTGCCGTCATCCATCTCTCGGCTTGGACGAAGGCAAGAATTCACCATCATTATTGGCAACATGCTTTCACAACAGCAGCGTCAACAGCAGCTAATGCTAGATGCACGCCGACGTCAAATGCAGATGATGGCTGCGAAGCCGCAACCAAACGCTGGCAGCAACAGTGTCTCTACTTTACAACAGCAAATGCAGCCTCAATCAGGGACAATGGGGTCCAAATATGATGATCTGCCCAGGTTAGAGCCCGCTGATTTTGTCTTCATCAGTGATAATCCTAAACCGGTTGGTCTAGTTCCCGCCTTCTTCGGGCCCTTTGAATCCGCCTGCCAGCATGGTCCCCTCTCCATCGTTCAGTCCATTGTCTCATCCAATAATCTCACACCTGCTTTTCTCCACCATGGTCTCACACGTGCCCTACGCTCTGGTAATATTGAGGTTGCTCGTTATCTCCTTGCTAGTGGCGCACCAATTGTTCGCGAAACTCCAAGCAATATATTCTTTGTATCTTTGGAACAACAAATTGCTCTCTTTGGGCTCTTGACCCAATACGGGTGGACTCCCAATACCCCGGGTTATTATGGTCGTACCTTGCTTCCTCAGACCGTCACGAGCCTCCATCTTCTTCGTTGGTTCATCAACCATGGAGCCAATCCCAATCTTGGTGTGCAGAAAACTTTCCATGACAGACGTGGTGGGCCAGATACTTCCTCGTGTGCCGCACTCGAGGTAGCTGCGATTCGTGGAGAGGTTGAAGCAGTGCGTTTGATTTTAGATGCGGGTGCTAAGATTCAAAACGGTGTTCCACTACACTATGCTGCCGGGGCTCGTCCTCCCGGTGCGAATCCACATTCTGAGCATGTTGTACCAAGTCGAGAATTTGATATCAGTAGGATTCCAGTAATGGCACTACTGGTTGATCGTGGAGCTCAGGTTAATCAGAAAGAGGAGTCACGACACATGGTCGCACAGTACGCAATTGTGTATGCGGTGATGGCAGGAGCAGTTGAGCGGGTCAAGTGGTTGTTAGAGCACGGGGCAGATCCACATATAAAAGGAAGCTGGGGTAGTGCAGCTGAGTATGCACGAACTGCAGGGAATGAAGAAATAACCAAGGTCATTGAGGAATTTACTCACGGGAAAGTATGAAATCCGAAGTTTTTCACGGCACCAACGACGAGATATATTGCAATATAACATTGTGAAAACTAGGAAAGGTATCACAAGGCCGAATCAGGGGCCGATGATTCTTGTACAACATACAGCAAGTACATCAAAATTAGTAATTTATAACGACCAGCATTATTATCAGTCCTACAATATACAGAGCAGAAGTCAACCTTCCAAAGTGGAATGCAGCCGCATCGGTCTTGGTGCGCTTATCCCCGAGGGTTACGTCGGTACCGGTCACGTGCAGGAAGGTATACGGAGCATATAGCGAGGTAAGTGATTAATTTACGTTACACAAGGTTTATATAAGAATTCCAAAAAACTCAGCCGTCCATGTGTAGATGTGAGATATAATAAGTCTGACTTCATTGGTAGGAATGAGAAGTGAGCACAGGTACTTAGCAGCCCCGAACTCGGGAATTCTCCATTGTAAAAGTGGGGCTGCCCGTGCTTGGGCTTTTGTAAGCAGAGCACTTGCACCAACCCCCGTCCTTTCTTCGAGGAAGTTCGTATCTTTTCTTGTATCCTTTCTTGCTTGTGCACAGAAAGGCATACTGGGACGAAGTCACTAAGAAAAATGCTGGATGGCCAATCCCAGGTGGTCCTAGAGGCGTCCCGCCCGGGGCACATCTTGCATTCCCTTGGATCGGCACTTGATTCCCGGCGACAGCCCTTCTGTACAGATAGCGAGGGCTGGGGCCCTGTCAGCTCATTAAGATTCGATCTGACGCCATGCTTTCTTGACGTGGTTGTGGCAGTAGTGGCTGTCTGGGGGACGCTGAGCGGACTGGGTGCGTTGTGGTTGTTACTGAGGAAGCGAATTCCGCAGCCCGTATCGAAGAATTGGCACTTCTACACCAAGTTGGTTAGTACATGCCGGATATCCTTATACACCCATGAACATCATCAATAATGTTACTGACTCTTCTTTTGGTCATCATAGGCCGTTCTTGCCGCTCTCATCATCGTGACCGCCCTTCAAGCTGCGATCCAAGTCGAATCAGACCCCAAACGCCTCTGGGCCGATTTTCGCTTCTGGTCCTCTCTCCTGACGATCATTTCGCTGGGGGTGATCACCTCGGTGCAATACTTTGAACATTGGCGGAGCAGACAGCCCAATGGCGTTGTCCTATTTTACTGGCTTTTCTTCATCATCGCCTACACGGTCAAACTTCGGTCCCTGATTGCGCGGAAGGAATACATCGGCCAACTCCCTTACTTTATCTGCTTTAATATCAGCTTGGGACTAGCACTCTTTGAATTCGTGCTAGAATATTTCGTACCCAAGAAGCAAAGCACCTACGATGCGCTGGGAGACGAGGATGAGTGTCCCTACAATTATGCCGATGTTTTCTCAGTTCTCACCTTCGGTTGGATGACCCCGATGATGAAGTACGGATACAAAAACTACTTGACCCAAGATGACCTCTGGAATCTCCGCAGTCGCGATACCACCCGAGCCACGGGTAACGCCCTGAAGGAGGCATGGGATAAACAGCTTGAAAAAAAGAAGCCATCTCTATGGACAGCGCTCTTCAGGGCATTCGGTGCCCCCTATGTACGTGGTGCGATAATCAAATCCGGAAGCGATGTTCTTGCCTTTGTTCAACCGCAACTCCTACGACTTCTTATTGCCTTCATTGAGTCGTATCGAGGCCCGGACCCACAGCCTATCATCAGAGGTGTCGCCATCGCCTTGTCTATGTTTTTGGTTTCTGTGTGCCAAACTAGCTTCCTCCATCAATATTTCCAGCGCGCTTTCGACACTGGCATGCGAGTCAAGTCAGCCTTGACAGCCATGATTTATGCCAAGTCCTTGAAACTATCAAACGAAGGGCGCTCGGCAAAGACGACCGGTGATATTGTCAACCACATGGCAGTCGATCAGCAGCGCCTTGCAGATCTGACCCAGTTCGGCACTCAGCTTATCTCTGCACCTTTCCAAATCACCCTGTGCATGGTCTCCCTTTACCAACTTCTTGGGGCGAGTATGTTTGCTGGTATCGGAGTGATGATCCTCATGATTCCTCTGAATGGTGTCATTGCTCGAATGATGAAGAAGTTGCAGATTATTCAAATGAAGAACAAGGACTCGAGGACCCGATTGATGACCGAGATTCTGAACAACATCAAGAGTATCAAGCTCTACGCCTGGAACACGGCTTTCATGAACAAACTCAGCCATATTAGAAACGATCTCGAGCTGAACACGCTCCGCAAAATTGGAGCCACTCAATCTATTGCCAACTTCACCTGGCAGTCTACCCCTTTCCTGGTTTCGTGCTCCACGTTCACTGTCTTTGTGTTGACGAATGATAAACCTTTGACTACCGAGATTGTGTTCCCTGCCTTGACGTTGTTCAACTTGCTCACATTCCCGCTTTCGATCTTGCCTATGGTCATTACATCCATTATCGAATCTTCCGTGGCCGTGACGCGATTGGTTGAGTATCTCACTGCAGAGGAGCTGCAGACTGATGCTGTTGTCTTTCAAGATGCCGTGGCGCACCCCGGTGACGAGTCTGTCCGTGTTCGAGATGCCACGTTTACTTGGAACCGTCATAGTGGGGAGACTGTGCTGGAAAACATCGATCTGAGTGCACGCAAGGGAGAGCTCAGCTGTATTGTTGGCCGAGTTGGCGCTGGAAAATCTTCTCTTCTCCAGTCATTGCTGGGTGATCTGTGGAAGGACCAGGGAGAGGTGTTCGTACGTGGTCGAATCGCGTACGTCGCGCAAGCGCCGTGGGTTATGAATGCCAGTGTCCGAGAAAACATTGTATTTGGACACCGATGGGACCCCTCATTCTATGACCTCACCGTTGAAGCCTGTGCTTTGCTTGATGATTTCAAGAACTTACCTGATGGTGACCAGACAGAAGTCGGAGAACGTGGCATTTCCCTTTCCGGTGGACAAAAGGCACGGTTGACACTCGCCAGAGCTGTCTATGCTCGTGCTGATATCTATCTCCTGGACGACATCCTCTCGGCAGTCGATCAGCATGTTGGACGTCACATCATCAACAGAGTGCTTGGCAAAACTGGTCTCCTCGGTGGCAAGACCAGAATTCTTGCAACAAACGCGATTACTGTCCTCAAGGAGGCTGACTTCATCGGCCTGCTGCGGGACAAGACCATCATCGAGGAAGGAACCTACGACCAACTGATGGCTATGAAAGGGGAGATTTTCAGTCTCGTTCGCTCTACAATGATTGACTCAGATGATGAAGGTACTGCTAGTGGCTCCGACGGCCTTGCTAGCCCCGAAAGCTCAGTCGCAGCCACCATCATCCAGAACGGAGGTGCATCCGACAGTGAGGAGGCGGAACAACTTGGTGACCTTATTCCCATCAGGGCAGGAGGAGGTAGTGAGGCCCGTAGACGGGCCAGTACCGTCACCTTGCGCCGTGCAAGTACCGTGACCTGGCAAGGGCCCCGGAGAAAGTTGGGAGATGAGGAGAACGTTCTCAAGAGCAAGCAGACCCAAGAAGTTTCCGAGCAAGGGAAGGTTAAATGGGGTGTTTACCTCCAATACGCAAAGGATAGTAATGTCATGGCAGTTGTGGTTTATTTGATTGCCATGATGGCTGCTCAGACTGCTCAAGTGGTGGGCAACTTCTGGTTAAAGCGCTGGACTGAGTGGAACGAAACCAATGGGACCAATGCTCAAGTTGGCAAGTTCATCGGTGTCTACTTGGCGCTTGGCCTGGGATCATCTCTCTTGGTCATTGTGCAGAACTTGATCCTTTGGATTTTCTGCTCCATTGAAGCATCTCGAAAACTTCACGAACGGATGGCATTTGCTATCTTCCGCTCTCCCATGAGCTTCTTTGAAACCACCCCATCTGGCCGTATCCTCAACCGTTTCTCTAGTGATATTTACAGAGTCGATGAGGTGCTTGCTCGCACTTTTAACATGCTGTTCGCAAACTCCGCTCGTGCCTTGTTTACCATGATTGTCATCTCAGCAACCACCCCGGCTTTCTTGCTATTCGTCCTTCCGTTGGGTTATATCTACCTAAGCTACCAGAAGTACTACCTAAGTACCTCCCGCGAGTTGAAGCGTCTGGACAGCGTCACCCGGAGCCCGATCTTCGCTCACTTCCAGGAATCTTTGGGCGGTATCTCGACCATCCGGGCCTACCGACAGGAGAATCGGTTCGCCCTTGAGAACGAATGGCGCATGGATGCTAACCTCAGGGCTTACTTCCCATCCATCAGTGCCAACCGCTGGCTCGCAGTTCGACTTGAATTTATTGGTTCAATCATTATTCTTGCATCCGCTGGACTTGCAATTCTGTCCGTTGCGACTGGCAGTAAGCTTTCGCCAGGCATGGTCGGTTTGGCCATGTCTTATGCACTTCAGATTACGCAGTCTTTGAACTGGATTGTCCGCCAGACTGTCGAGGTTGAGACTAACATCGTGTCCGTTGAGCGAGTTCTCGAGTACGCCAATCTCCCGAGCGAGGCGCCCGAGGTGATTTTCAAGCGTCGCCCTGCCATCGGCTGGCCGGCTCAAGGAGCGGTGGAGTTTAACAACTACAGCACCCGCTATCGCCCTGGGCTAGATCTTGTGCTCAAGGATATAAGTCTCAACATTAAGCCTAAGGAGAAGATCGGTGTTGTTGGCCGAACGGGCGCCGGGAAGAGTTCGCTCACCTTGTCCCTTTTCCGGATCATCGAGGGTGTTGAAGGAAACATCAGGTAAGAACCTATCACTGTCACCTCATGCCTCTGCTCTCTAGGCTAACAAGATTCCAGCATTGATGGACTCGATGTGTCTACAATTGGGCTGACTGATCTTCGTGGACGTCTCGCTATCATTCCTCAAGATCCCGCCATGTTCGAAGGCACTCTGCGTGACAACCTGGATCCTCGTCATGTCCACGATGACACCGAGCTTTGGAGCGTTATAGGTTGGTCTCACTTGAAACCTATCCCATTTATCGCGGCGACCAGCAACTAACCCGGTTGCAATAAATAGATCACGCGAGATTGAAGGATCATGTCTCGAAAATGGACGGACAACTGGATGCTCAAATTCAGGAAGGAGGTAAGTAACTATCTGCATCTAACCAATGCATCAAGCATCGCCATACCCTAACACATAACTTTAGGATCCAACTTGAGTCAAGGTCAGCGCCAGCTGGTATCTCTCGCTCGCGCTCTTTTGACTCCCAGTAATATTCTTGTTCTGGACGAGGCAACCGTAAGATAGTTCTGTCATTGCCTTTGGTTGACAGTTTCAGCTAACAACGATGATAGGCTGCAGTTGATGTGGAGACGGATGCGCTGCTGCAGCGCACCCTGCGCAGCAGCATCTTCTCTGATCGGACCATCATCACGATTGCGCACCGCATCAACACGATCATTGACTCTGATCGGATTGTCGTTCTGGACAAGGGGCGAGTGGCTGAATTCGACACGCCTGCAGAACTGATCAAGAGAGGTGGCCAATTTTATGAGCTCGCCAAGGAGGCTGGCCTGCTCGACAGCGAGGGTGGCATTGCCTCCTCACAATAGCATACAATCCAATCGCTTGCACTGGCCTCAAATCCCCACATTTTTCTGTTCATGAGACACCAAGATTGCTCAGCTAGCCAGCCCACCTCAGAGCATTGAACCAGCCCCATCTATGCAGCTCTGAGTGGCTCCAGGGGGGCGGGTTTTCTTTTTTGGTACCCTGGGCCGATCCTACGAGGTCCCGGATGCTCTCGGTTTAGTGCAGCTAGCATGGGTCATGTTTACACTTGAAAAACAGATCTTTGCTGACCGTCCAAAATTGTGGCGCGGGTGTCCGTGCATACATGCATGTACAAGTACTGAAGGAGGAGTTTTCATTGCACAGTTCAGGGGACCCCCCTGAGAAGGATGCATAGGCACAAACAAATAGTGGAGAGTGGCTGAACGATTGAATTTCTTGCCCCCTTTCCCCTTTCTCCCCTCCCAAAATTTGCTTTCAAATCTCCCTTGTTATGTTTTTCTACCGGGAGAATGGTTTGCCTCGATGGTGTTTGATCGAGAACATCCGATTGGATTTGACTCTGCCTTCTAAAAGATACAAAAGTGATTTTTTTGCCTCCGTACATGACCTTTCTTTGCCTTGACACTTTGATCAGATTGTGGCCGTGCACAGCATGTTGATCTGTGAACAAGCTCTAGTCGACTCCCAAAAGCCGACATTGCCTAGGCCCCAGCGAAACAACCGAACGTAACTATGCATCCACCTCAAAGCCACAGTCTGAAGTCATCTGTGATGATTATCTGCAGTAGCGCTTTGTACTAAACGTGGCGGTGACATCTTGAAATCCTATCGGAAGAGCAATTACTGTAGCGGTGAAAGGTCGGCCACCTGTCTGCTCATCACAGGGTGTCTGTTCGCAGGGCTTCGGGTCAGCAATCAACCGAATTGCAAGCTCTGCTTGTCTGGTATACTCTTCAGAGCGAACAAGATACTCAGATGGTCCTATTCAACATAATTGAACGAGACCCTCTGCCTCACGACCCCCCTCTTCTCTCTGTTTCGACGATCACATCTGCAAAAGATATCTCCGGAAAAAGCAAACAGATATGCCAATTTCGAATAGGCATGTCGAGGGCGCACACCTCCTTGCGGCCTGCAAAACAGACTCTCTCTCTCTCTCTCTCCACGCGATC